CGCCCCTAATAAAGAAGTCGTAAACAAGACGTTCGACCCTCTATATATATAAGGAAAGATATCCTTTACGACTAAGCCTACTTAATTTAGGTTCCTAGTCTTCGTAGTCTAGAAAACGACGATAGTAGATAGCAAACTAGTCCGTAAAGGACGCGCGGTCGTAGATATTAGAGGCCTAAATAAGATTATAGTTAAGGATTCTTACCCGCTACTTAGATAGGAGGACATTATTAAGGTACTACGTAGCTCTACCTATATTACAATAGTAGACGCCGTAGCATTTTTCTACTAGTAGGCCGTAGCCGAGAAGGACTATAGCAAATTCGCAATTAATAGCTACCGCGGCTAAGAATAGATATACGTAGCTATTATAGGTTTCTCTAATAGCGTATAATACGTCTAGCGCTAGCTTAACAAGATCCTTAAGCGCTATAAGTCCTATTGTCGCGCTTATATCGACGATATCGTTATCTATTCCCGTACCTTCGAAAAGCACCTATAGTATCTAGACGCCGTTTTTAAGTGCTTAGTAGACAAGAATATAAGCATCGCACCGTATAAGTTATTCCTCGTATATCTATCTACGAAGCTTTTAGGTTAACGAGTATTAGGACTAGGATATACTACTTATAAGGAGAAGGTCTAGGCTATTCTAGACTTGAAATTCTCTACTACGCTAAAGGATATCGAATTTTACTTAGGGCTTACTAGATAGTAACGCTAGTATATTCTATACTACTCTACGATTACGATACTATTCGAGAACCGTAAGAAGGAGCTCTTACGCTTTAGCCTAGCTAATAAGGGGAACAAGCGAAAGCGCTATATAGCTAGGACCCTAGCCTTCGACGTAGATAAGGCACTAGAAACCGAGTATAAGGCCTTTAATATCCTAAGACAGATATACCGCGATATTAAGTTCTCCTATTACGCGGACCCTAATCGCCCTATATATATCGACCTAGATACCTACGTAGGAGGATTCGCGGTAGTAGTATATTACGTTAAGGGTAACCCGGAGCCGACTATCGAGAATAGCAAGGCCGTACGCTTCCCGGCGGATAAGGTATAGGTTATTATATACCTTAGTAAAGCCCTTACGGACGTAGAGAAGCGGTACCTAGCTACCGAGCTCGAGGTCGGCGGACTAGTCTAGACGGCACGCAAGGCACGGATAATCCTATAGGCCGTACGTAAGCTAGTATATATATTTTCCGACTATATAGCGGCCCTAGGTATTACTATAGTAGCGAGCCTAGCAACAAGTTAATAACTACGTCTATAGATAAGCTTAACCTCCGTCTAGTATAGGCTAGTTAGTACCTCTCTTAGTACCCTAAGCTTAAGGTATACTACCGCCTAGGACGCCTTTATAGGATACCGGACGCCCTAAGCAGGCTCGTAGCGGATCTTAACCGAGCGGCAGATTAAGTATATAATATACTAGATCCCCTAGTATACGACGATCCGGCCTCCGCGAATAATATAATCGACGTATACTATATATACCTATACGAAAGCGAGGGTGCGATTTGTTTTTACGCTACTATAATCGACGAGTACTCCGGCCGAACGTATACCTCTAACGAGCCTATAGTTTTCTACTCCGTACTCGTAGAACTCGCTACTAAATTTAAGGACGACTTAAAGGCGGGATATACTAAGGACCCCTATTAGTCCGTAATCCTAGCTTAGCTAAACGTAGTAGAAGAACGCCGCCTACGAGCCGCCGCTAAGAGGACCTTAGACGCTAACGATAACCCTAATTATAAGGAAGCGGACATTATAGGCGAGGCTAAGTCGAGCCTATTAGGACTTTGTTTTTTCTTACGCGACGACCTTATCTATTTTAAGGACGATACCGACGGTAGAGAGAGGCTATATATCCCCCGCTCCCTATATAAGGAAGTCTTCTAAATAGCCTATAATTACTATTACTACGTAGGGTATTACCGTACTTACGCTCGCCTATACGCTAGTTTCTATATACGCTAGCTTAGGCGCGAGGTCTCTAAGTATATCGCTTATTGCTCTAAATGTATCCTAAACTAGATACTACGCTATCCTCTATACGGCGAATTGTAGCTAATTAAATGCTAACCTATTCCGTAGTACGCTATTATAGCGGACTAGGTTTACGGCCTACTACCCGATAAGGATAGCTATAATAGGTTCCTTATAGAGACGTATAAGTACTCTAAGCGCGTTATACTACGTAAGTGCAAATTAACGTAGACAGCGTAGCAGTATAGTAGCGATTAGATCTAAGGCTATATCGAAATAGAGCGCAACCTTCCGGCTATTATAATCGGCGACTAGGACCCTATTTAGCTTAGTAACTTTATAAAAGCAGCCTTTAAAAAGTTAGGTACGAGGTTCTTCGTAACGACGGCGTACTATCCTTAGTCGGACGGCTAGTCTAAGCAAACTAATTAGACTGTAGAAATCGCACTACGATTCTTTACCTCTAATTATCTAGACGCTAATTAGACGGACGCACTTCCGTATATCTAGGCCGAGCTTAATAACGCTAGAAATGCCTCGACTAGAGAGGTACCTAATATTATAATTTAAGGATTTAAGACTAACTTAGACGCGCTAAACCCCCTTACCGAGCTCCCTACTAAGGACTACTTAGTATTAAGATAGGAGGTACGCGATTAGGCCGCGGATTCTCTCGCGTAGGTAGTAGCAATAATAAAGGACCGGTACGACCGCAAGCATCGCCCTATTTCCTTTAAGACTAGCTAGAAGGTACTACTTAAGTTATATAAGGGATACCGCCTACTAGAGAACCCTAATCGCAAGCTCTCTACGTAGCGTACTAGACCTTTTAAGGTAGTACGCCCGGTCGGCAACCTCGCGTATAAGCTCGATCTCCCTCTAGTAATACGTATCTACCCTATAATCTTAGTTTCGTAGTTAGAACCTTACCCCGAGGGCCGTAATCCGTACAATAGAGAGATACCTAAGCCTAGCCTAGTAGATAAAGTACCCTTCGACGACGACTACCTATACCTAAAGGCGCCCTATTATAAGATCGAGAAACTCCTCGGACGTAGAGTCTCTAGAGACAAGACGTAATATCTAGTTAAGTAGCGTAGCTACGGTTACGTATATAACGTTTAGTACGATATTAACGACCTCCGCGACTTAGCGGAACTCGTCTAGGAATATAACTGCCTCTACCTATAATAAGCGTTATAATAGCAAGCGTTACGTTAGTAGGCGGTACGTTAGCAAGCGCTATAATAATAGATACCGGTAGCGCCGTCCCTAGGCGCGCCGTAGTCGATAGTAGGAGAGCTATAGGCTCGGCCTTCTTAGAGGCCTAGCTTACGTAACTCCTAACGAATAAGCTTATAGAAGGTTAACTAAGTAGTGCTATACGTAATAATAGGCATCTTTACCGCAGCACGTTACGTTATAGTATTATTGTCTATAATTAAATTGTACCCTACTCTACCTTATTTTAAAATATACCCTACTTTACTCTATTTTAAAACGCATATAGTTTACTTTATTGTCCTCCCTCTATTGTCGCTCTAAAGCGCGCGGCGACGCGTCTTATTATTATTATTAACGTAGGACGCGTCCTATTATCGGACGGGCTATACTATATATATAAATAGCGTAGCGCAAGCGAGGTAAAGTTTGCGTTATAACAACGTAGAACGCCCTAGCAACGCCGGCAGTCTTTAGTTACTACGTATACGTAATATACTAAATTCTCTCCGCTCCGCTTAATACTATTTCTATTATCCTTACTAAGTATATACCGCCTCGACTACTAGCTTAGACGACAATATCTATTACTAAAATAGAGCGTAGCGAGCGCTACTATCCGCTAGCGGGCGAGCGCGGCCCTCCTATATAATAGTAATACGCCTATAAAGAAGACGAGCTCTTAGAACTAAGCTAGTAGTAGCTACCTTAGCGTCGCAAGGTTAGCGGCCTACTATTTACCTTAGTACTACTACAAATCGAGTACTACGAGGACTATACTAGCTCGCCTAAATATATCGCGTAGGCGAACCTTAACAAAATCCCTTATAATAAGGTCCCGGTAGAGTTATACCGCGAGCTCGACCGGCCGCTACTAGAAAACATTAGTAACTTCGTTAACGCTATAGTATAGGTACGAATCTATTGTACGCTAGTACCGTACCTACTATTGCGTAAAAGAACTATACGGGTAAACCCTATTACCTTCGAAGACTTCTTCCTAAAGCACTACGGCTCCGATAGGGTATATATTATACGAATTCGCTTAATCGACCTCTCCGAACTTAGCTACCTACCCCTACTACTACTCGACCCTAAAGCTAATCTAAAGGACTGCAATACCTTACGCTATATCGCTATCTTATTATAGTAGGGCGCTAGCATTAACGGCTACGAAATAGGTAATTACGCTAGCTAGGCTACGTTTTTTAGCCTACCGCAGTTCTATTAGTTTCTAGACGCTAAGCTAGATATCGCTTAGGACGGCTAGCGATACCGCGTTATCGTCCCTAATCCCTAGTACGCTAAATTGTTTTACGATCTAGTAGAGATCCCGAACTAAGTCCGTAACTATAATATTTACTACGCGATTCGGACGCTCGCTAAACTCGACCTTACTCTAACGTCTTATAAGGAGAACGGTATACCCTTCGTAGTACCCTATACCTAGACCGCCTTTTAACTTATAAGCGCCTTAGCTAGCTATAGCTTCGTAAAGAACGCCCTAGATAAGCTATACGAGATCCTTACTAGTATACTAGGCTAGGACGAGACCGAGCTAAACCTTATATCTATATATATATAGATTATATAGATTATAGTACGTATAGTAGATAGACTAGAAGACGAAACGCTAGAGTAGCGCGACGAGCGCCTTAGTTAGACTACTAATTGCTATAACTTGCTAGGCTAGTTCGAGAAGGAATAAAACGTTACCGTAGAGGCGATAGTCTAGTAGTAGACAGCCGCGATATACGTAAAGGTATAGGAGAAGATTATCGCACTTGAGCCCGTCGACCTGATTGCGTCTAATAGCACTAATTTACTAGACGCCTACTCTAAGCAATACGCCGCCTCTACGCGATTTTAGACGGAATACCGTTACTAGAAAGAGCGTACCGTAACTATAGTACTCGGTTCTACTAAGATTGTTAAGATAGTTAAGCCTAACACTCTATAGACAGATTACCACAATAATTAAGGATAGGTATAGGGCGATAAGGACCTTCCTTAGCGTCTCGGAGAAGCTACAAATTAATACTAACATACCTCGGACGCCGTATTAGTACGCGACGCTACCGCGCTTAACGCCGATACTAGCGCCGCAGAGTTAGCTACTAAGCGCCCTAAGGGAAAGGCGGCCCTATACTCTAAGGGAATACCTACGCGCCTATTAGCCCGGTATAAGAAGGACCTTAAGGACTCTAACGACGCGACGTATTAGGATACTATTATAGTAGAAGAGTAGGACCTAAGAAAGGTAATCGTAGGTAAAAAGTAGGACGTAGAAAAGATAGACATCGATAGCGAGAACGTAACGGAGAAAGAAGAGTAGGAACTAGGAAAAGTAATTATAGGTAAAAAGTAGGACGTAGAGAAGATAGATATTAATAGCGAGAACGTAACGGAGAAAGAGTAGTACGAAGAATAGAAAGAAAAGGCTATAGGAAAAGATATTACTATAGGTAACGCTAGAACTAAAGACGATAAGGGCCCCGCTCCTCTAGATAAGGAGAATAAGGACGAACTTTAGGGTAAGGCTATAGACGCTATCCTTATCTGCGCCGACGCCCCGATAACTATACGCTAGGTCGTAGACGCCGTTTAGTTAGCCTTCCCGAACCTCTACGCTACTAAGAGCGTAGAAGATACCGAGGAATTCCTTAACGCCGATAGTACCGACGTCGACTTAGATTCGGACTTAATCCGCTATTCGACTTTAATCTGCGAATAAGACGCTAACGGTATATACGTCTATAAGCTTAGTACCTCTAGCTATAAGGCTATACTCTTACGTAATACGGAGCCCGCCTTTAGTGCTATATACGGATATAATATTACCGTATACCTAGTAGAGAGCTCTACTACTAGGGGCTCCTCTCGAGATAAGGTAGCACCTCTATAGTAATACTATACTAAGTAATAGAAAGATAAGACGCAGCCGACTACGCTAGGCAAGGTAAAGCAGAACGGCTCTAACGAGTAGAATAGCTTAGATAGAGACAATAACGATAATAACCTACCTAAGCCTCGTCGTAAGCGCCTCCCCTTAGTATCCCTAGATATCGGCTAGGAGGTACGCGAGGCAGTTACGGCTTTAGGCGCGCGTTAGCGTACAGTAAGCTACGCCTTTATAGCGGTATTAGTAGCAATTATTAACGCCGCTCGTAAGGACGAGTTAGCCGTAGACCGTCTTATTTAGGTTAACGATACGGTACGCTAAACCTATACCGTCTTAAACCTAGTATAAGAACTTAACTTTACGAGACGTATATATAAGGACGATACTATATAGTAGCGATACGAGGACATCCTAGTAGAATATACCGAAGCTCCTATAGGCTCTAACCTACGCGGCTCGCTTATAGCAATGTTTTATCGCGTATAGACTATAAATAAGGGCAATATAGAAGAAGGTACTTCCCTACCTTTCCTCGGATAGAACGCTACGCCGTAGCTATTACGCGAGGTAACGCCCGACGTAGGACCTAGAGACGCTAGCCTATCTTACTAATAAGAGGACGACGAGATTCTAGAAGAGGTACCTATAGATATCGACGCTTAGGAAGAGGCCCTAACCCGAGTTATAAACATTAAAGTCCTAGTCCTATTATTAGCTACGACCGCTACGCTAACGAGCGCCTAAATCGCTACTCTAATAAGCGTACGTATGCCGATAGACAAGAAGGTTCGTCGAGGCGCTACTAATATAGTAAAGGACGGAAACCAATACTACTACTACTACCTATAGTAATAGTATAGGCTACCGAGGGTAACACGACCTATAGCAATATAGGCAGCTATGTTTAGCATAATAGGATAACAAGACGGTTGCTTAGGCTAATAACTAGAGCCCTGTAATATAGGCATTGTAGAAGTGTAATATAAACAATATACTATACGAGGTTAGTGCTCTATCTACAATATAGAAGGAGGCCTCTTATATAGGCTCAAAACTTAGCCTAGGTGTATAGGGCCGGTTACTAGCTAATATCCCTCCCTTTCTTCGTGTCTAACTAGACACGCTTTATATTGTGCGCTCAAAACAAACAGTTATATAGTAACCTTAGGCATCTTAGCTAAGGCTATTTTTAGAACTCCGTAATAACACCCCCGGGGTAGCATTGTTCCTAGATTCTATTAATATACAAAAACAACTTCCTAAGCATCCAATCTACTACGCTAACTTACTACTGCTTTAATGTACCGTAATCCTTACTAGCAATAACCTTATTAGCTAGTTAATTCTCCTAAACTCCTCCGTAGGTATTAAAGCTGTTAGCGCTAAAGTACTCTACCTCGAAGTAAGCTTTATTAACGAGGAGGTTAGCAGCCTTGTCCTATGTAGCCTTCTCCTACTCGCGTAGATAGTCCTTAAGCTCCTCCTTACTTAACTAGAGGACTTGTTTAACTTCGTTCTAAACAACGTGACTTAACTAAGGAATTCTGCCGACTAGGGTATTAGAAATGCAACTAAGGCCTTCGACTAAGATAGCGGCAGGGAAGGCGAACGGTACGAAGGTGTTAGAACCTAGAAGGGCGGTTAGATTGCGGTGCGCCTTAGCAACCTTAGCGACGGTTAAGTTGTCGTAGCCCTTAATCTTAGTGCCGTCGATAATACGAGAGTAGCCTAGGTCGATTAATATACGGTCGCTCTTAGGCTTTAGGTTACTATACGGAAGGTATAGTATCTAAATAGAGACTTCGCATTCCTTTAGAGGGTTAAGGATCTACTAAGCTGCCTCGCCTTCGTTAGGCTAACTATCGAATATATAGCCGAGGTCGTCGTTAGTAAGGTACTTGTTAGTAAGCTTACTAATCTTGTTTAGTAGAACTAGGCTACGGGCATTAAGCTTCTTAACCTAGTTCTCGAAGACCTCTAGTTCGTATATACCCTCGACGATAGTTAAATAGGCGGTCTTATCTTTAGATATAAGAGAAACCTTAATACGCAGATAGCTAGCACCCTTACTAGCTACGAGCTTAACTATATCTTATCCGAGACGAGAAGCCTCCTTAGTAGGGCAGTTCTTATAACCGCTATTACCTACCCTAAAGTACTTAGTAGGCTTAGGGACGGAGATAAGCTCGTATACGTAATTAGGTCGAAGGGCAACGGCTAAGAGCTACAAGGCGGGATGCTAACGGACGATTTAGTTACTTACTTTATAGGTTTAAAGGGTATTGCGGCCTTCCTACTTAGACTTAGGCAGTTTACGTATATACTAAAAGAACATGCGAAACTCCTCCTATATTAGGTCGACGATAAGAGGAAGGTGCGTACTACGAGGCGACTATATCTAACCGAAGACTCGAGGGAAGATAGCATTGCTAGTCTAACGAAAGCGGTCGAAGGAGGTGCCTTATCCGAGAATGCTAGTAATCAACTTATAGCGACGCTTAGTTAGTATAAGATCGCGAGTAATAGTGCTAGTAGGGTTGAATACGTAGAGTCCTAGGGAGGTCGGGGCGGTAGCAGGACGTCTAGGAAACTAGTTAGTATAACTAGTCTTAAGGGCAGTAAAGGCATCCTAATTAGCAACCTCGCGACTAATCTTTAATAGGCGACCGACGAGGACACTCGCCTTAGCACTAGTATAGAGACTATAGACCTTAGTAGCCTTCTTAATATAGTTAGCATATATAGTAAACCGCTCTTTACCTAGCTTGCTAAGGTCGTCGAGCTATTAATAGATAGACAGGGCGGTAGGAGCTTTACCTATATCGGCTTTAGGAACTATATCGATGTTAGTAATAAGGTGCGTAATAGAGTCGCCCTTATAAGAACTATAGATGTTCTTAGTTAATAGGATCGGCGAGAGGCCTCTATTTCTACGCTCGCTAAAGGAGCCTTCGGAGGAGACATTCTCTAGTAGTGCATCTAGTATATTAACATCCGAGTTACTATAGTTAGTACTATAGTTAGTACTATAGTCGGTACTAGAAGGAGCGCTATACTTCTTAGTAGCCTTGCGGAGGGCCTAGCGAGTATACAATACCTTCTTACGCGCTACTTCGGCCTTAGCGCGCTCGTCTTAAACTTCTTAAAGGACCTTACGGTTACGGGTCGAGCGACGATCTTTAGCCTACATTTCTATAGCGAGCGCAAGACTAGTAGCTATATCGGCCTCGGTTTCTAGGCGAAGAGCCTTACGTTTAAGGACATTAACAATAGGAGCCTCTTAACCTTTAACAATAAAGCCTATACTATTAATACGACAGCCCTTCTCTTTTAGTAGATCCTTAGTTGTCTATACGTTAAGATCGACCTAGACAATCGCATCGTAGTGCTTCTTCTAGTAGGCTATCGTAAAGTCGTTAAGCGTAAAGGACAAGTTAAGTAACTGCTTGCCTACCTTCTTACTAGCGGTAGATACGCGATAGATTATAGTACGGGAAAGATACTCGGCGCCTTAACGACGGACCTTGTACTTGTTAACGAACGAAGAGACCTGCTTAGTACGCTCTTACCTACTATAGGCGAAGTTAATAAGGCTCTTAGGAAGACTGCTTAGTCCTCCCTAGTATTCGAAGGCCTAGTTAAGGGTCTTAAAGCGTAAGCGAATCTAGGTACCGGCTATCTCGAGGCTATAGACGATAGGAAAGGCTTATTCGATATCTATATCGTTAAGAACCTCGCGCTTAAAGATACGCTTACCGATAGACTAACGCAAGTTGTTTATACTATACGCAACTAAGATAGTAGCCTTCTTAATGTTCCTATTAATAACGCGTAGTAGGGTACGAGCGTTCTAGATCTTCTCTTAAGGGTCTTTAAGGGCGGTAACGATCTAGAAGCAGTGCTCGAGGCTGGTTGTAGTAGCTAAGGCGCTATCGGATAGGGCTTCGATCGGAACTAGGGCAGCTAGGCTTAGGTTAATAGGGGTAGGTAGGTCGTTGCTACTGCTAGCGCCTAGCGGATTCGGGGCGCCGGAAGACATAGTCGACCGAAGTAGGTTGTAAACGAGTTTGCAAGTGTGTTCGTTGCTTAACAATAATAATTAAAGGGTTTAGATAGAAGGGGGGGGTAGTTAGGCGGTAGCGAGTTAGTTAGTAATCGAGTAGAAGAAGGAGCTTAGGAAGCTCGCTTTAAATATAGTACGAAGGTAACGTAGTCCGTATATTCCGCGCTAGTAAAGCAAACGGATAACGGCTATATATAAAAGTAAAGCTGTATACGAGACCTCTTTATTATTAGGGCAGGCTAAAGTTTAACAATCGATCTAGCTAATTGCTAGTAGCGACTACGCGCCTTTATTAACCTTTAGCTATCGTAGATTCTCGCGCACTCGAAATATAACTAGTTAGTTCGAGTCCTTAGTAGAAATCTATAGTAGTAAAGCTAGCGGGACTAATAACACCCCCGGGGTAGTATTAGCTTTTCTCTAGAGATGCTCGGTAACGAGGAGTAAGTCGCCTAGGCCTAGCGTAGCTAATTCGTTAGTACGTTAGCCTATAGCACTGCCGTTATAGATATAGCATCACCTTTCATATTAGCAAGCACGTAAAGGTAGTCTATACGTTTACCTTCTTTCCTCTTCTAAACACTAAGCTTAATAGCCTAAGGTCCCTATTCTTAGAGGCTATAGGCCTAGGTTGCTATATCTATCTAAGAGCTAGGAAGGGAGAGGGATCCTCCCTTTCTTAGTGTCCTACGTAACTAGTGCTAATTATAGTAGGAACATCCTCTAGTAGAGTACCTTGTTATCGTTGTTACTTAAGGGTAGTCGCTAGAGTCTAGGAATCTAGAGGGAAGTAGTCCTAGAAGGGTAAAGGGTTAGGTTCGGCTATTTTCCTAATGCTACCCCCGGGGTATTATTAGGAAAACACGCCTTGTATAGTTCTATCTAAGGAAACAAGAGCAAAGGAATAAAGTTATAGCAACATCTCGAAGGCTAAAGAGCAAAACAATAGACAAAGTAAAGCAAAAGAGGGCAACAACTATAAGCATTAATACCGTAGGAACAAGCAGTAAGGACTAAAGCTACAGGGCGGCACTGCATTAATAGCGCGGAGAAGGCAAGGAAAACAACGTAGTAGAGGTAGGGAAAGACAAGCAATTATTCAGTCTCGGGATCTAGCTATAATTCTAGGCGGTCTTCGTCGCTAGACTAGTCGAGTTCCTCCTTAGAGTTAGAGTTAGATAGCTAGAAGTCCGGTTTACTATCGGAACTAATATCGGAAATGCTCTACGCGTAATTAATACGTATATAACCCTCCCTTTGTTTATAAGTTATTCCTAATAGCTTACTAAGACGTATCTAGGGGTGCGTATAGTTGTTAGGTAGAATAGGATCTATAATCGCGGTAGGATCCTCCTCTCGATAGGCATCTAAGGTCGGTAGAGGGTCTATAGAGGCATTAACTTCCTCCTCGGTCGGGGGAGGGCGGGCAGGCTCTCTTAATTCGACGATCTTCTTTAGGTTAGCTCGGGGGTGCGAGTGCTTTAAGGTAGCACTATTAAGTTCCTAAAGTCGGTACGTAGAACTATCGTAAAGGACCCCCTATACTCTATAAGGCCCTTTCTATTTAAAGGCTAGCTTATAGGAGTAACTATACTCTAACTCGGACCGGTATAGGAGAACTATATCGCTAACCTTTAGAGGCTCCTAATTAATAGTATTATAGTTATTAAAATACTGCTTAGCCTCTTTACGAAGGCGCCGTTATTAAGCAAGTCCCTCCTAAGAAGTAGTAGTTATATCCTTAAGAGCCTTAGCGCGTAGGGTAAGGAGATCCGCTCTAGTACGAACAGACCCCTAATCGTAAACGCTATGCGTGCGATAGGACAACTTAATAGGAAGAACGGCGTCCCTCCTAATTATAAGCTCTACTAGCGTAAGTCTAGTCGTATCGATAATAGTAGTTCGATCTACCTAGAGAAGGGCTAGAACGCGGGTAGAGATAGGAACGGACCTATCCCCTCTATTAGTTATCTTAGACAGGGCATCAATTAAAGACCGATAGCTACGCTTAACAATAGCATTCGACTAGGGATAGTACGGGGAGATACGAACGTTCTTCGCCCTATACGAAACAAGTAGCGCTTAAACTTCTTTAGCTATATTGTTCGTAGCGTTATCTAAGATAATCTCGTAAGGTGTTCCCTAGCGGCAAAACAGATCCTTAAATAGGAAGGTAGCTATATTACGAGCATTAATAGCGCCGTAGCCCTTATAGAAATAATAGGCCTCCGGCTATCGAGAAAGACCTTCTCGAATAATATATAAGCTGTTATTGCGACTAAGATAGACCCTATCGCTATACTATCGCTCTCCGACTAATTAGGTAGTAGGAATACGCAGCTCTCCTAGCCGACGGTAGCTATTCCTAAAATTGCACTTAGGACAGCTCTTATAGTAGCGAGAGACATTAGCCTATACGCTATCCTACTAGTACCGCCGACGAAGGATATCGAAAGTGCCCTCCGCCGCCCGGTAGCCGAGCTTATCGTAAACGGAACGAAGGATCTCTTATCGGGCCGCTAGGTCGTTAATAATACGCTAGAGAGGTACATTAACTATCGCTTGTCGCTAAAGGATTCGATCTTTAACTAGGAATCGGCGAGAATAGCGAATAACCCGACGGTATTAACTCTTTAATAGGCTAGGCGCTTTCTTCGTATAGGTTAGGAAGTAGGCGATGTAATAGGAGTCGTCGGAGTAGACCCTATTAAGGACATTATCCCTCTCTAGTTTATCTACCTTATCTTTAGCCTAGTCGTTATCGTTAGTAGTAGGGCTCCCGTCGGGCTAGTTACTAGGTTAGTCGCTAGGTTAGTTATCGGTAGCAGGCCTAGTAATCGCTAGTATAGCATTAATATAGAAGGTAGCGAAGAAAGTGCGGTTAATTACTATATCGATATCCTCTTCTTCTATTATCTCGGCGATATCCTCTTCTATAGCGGGCCTTCTAGAAAGGCTATCCGGTCTAGTATACTTCTTACTAGGAACGTAGAAGACGTCGAAATTAAACAAATAGATCTAGGCAACCTACCGAGCTATCGCAGAGTTTAGTAGGTCGGAGGCTATACGGTTAAGCTAATAGACTAGCGTCTAAGCATCGATTTCTAAGCGAAAGAACATACTAAAGAGCTATAGTCGGAACTTCTTTAGAGCCTTATAGACTCTAAGGCATTCTCGCTTACTAGTATCGTATCGGGCCTCGATCGGTTTCTATAGTCCGGAGTCGTACCTAATAGGATAACGTAAGGATAGCTCCTTACGGTTATACTGCATTAGTATCTCGCTATAGCCTTCCCCGCTCGAGTCGATAGCAACAATTATCAAACCCGCACCCTCTAAGTAGTTAATAGATGTTAGTATAGGTACGCTAACGAGCGCCTTAGTTACCGTATCCTTAGCCGCTTAGTAAACGGAGGTCTATTCGAAATTAGCATTCTTCTTAAGCAAGGCGTATAAGGGCTTGTATACTAATACAAAGTTCTCGACCTAGATACGGAAGTAGGAGACTACTCTAAGCTAGGTTCGGACATCCTTCTAATAGGTAGGATTTAGCTAGGACACTATCTTTAGGACCCGTGCATTATTAGGATAGCGGCCGGTCTTATTAGTTATAAACCCGACAATGTTTATTCGTTTGTATAGGAGCTAAAGCTTCTCCTTATACACCGTTAGGTTAGCTCGCTCTAGGTCGCAGAGGACACTATCGAGGTTCTAAATGTGTTCGAGAAAGAACCTACGGATGCTAGGCTCTACTTCCTTATTATCGTACCTAGTTTTAGGGCCCTTAATGCCGATGTCGTCGAGGAAAGGCATCGCTATATAGGAGATATAAGCCGCGAGGACTTACTTTATAATGCGAACGAACTAGGCTACGGAGTTAGTTGCCCCTTAGGGAAGGGTTGTTTGTTTATATAGCCTAAGAGGTGTCTCGAAACTAGTAAGGTCGCGGCTATTAGGATAGAGAGGGATCTAGTCGTAGCCCGAGAAAACATTAACTAGTAAGGCTACAATACAGTTAGCAAAAGCTTCCGAGAACCTATTAGTCTCCGGAGGGAGGTTAGCATCTCTAATCGTAACTGCGTTAAACTTTTGTATAGCGTTAATTAGACGGTACTTCTTTAGTTCCCTAGGAGCTGTTTTCTTTTAAACTAGGAAGTATAGATTACGATACGAGGCATAGGAAGGCTTAAGTGTGCTAGCCTTTATACGCTATCGTATTATGTCCTTAACTATACCTCGTAGGCTTAGGTTCAACTTAAAACCTAGGTAGGCCTAAGGCTTATATTCGATCGTTCGGATCCTCTACGGAGGGGTAACCTCCGGATTTATCCTACCTAGGTAAGTGAAGTTATATACTAATACGGCCTCGCGATTATATAGAAGCTCGTATAGCAAATCTAGTTTACGATCCGAAAGCTCGATACTAGGTTTGATTTTCGCAAGCCTCTCCTCTATTAGCCTTAACCCCCTAGGGATAGTAGAAAACTTTTTAGTAATATACTTCTAATCGTACGGACTATCCCTAGGTAGTAGTGTCGCCTCCTAATTAAGGCACTTTTGTCGCTAGTTAGGATTTCCGCTAGGATTAGACCTATCGGTAATATATACGCTGCCTTTTACGGGCTTAATCTTGTTAGCTACCCTCTTATATAGGGTATATATACTAATCGATTGTCGAACCCGAGCTCGCTCTCTTTGTCGCTAGGCTTAGAGATTAGCGTAACAAAACAGCGCGTAAACTTCTTTAGAAGTTTCCTTAAGTCGATAGGTATATAGCTAGTAGTCCTAATTTATAACGCCGGCGAAAACGTTAGATTCGTAATAACACCCCCGGGGTAGCATTAGACTCGCGTTCTAATTAGTTAGTTCGGGTAGACCCGCCTCCGGTAGTAATGCCTCCGGCGACGACGTATAAGATAGCATTATTACCTTAACTTGTATAGCAGGTATAGGTAGTCGTTGTATTATGCTCGCTATCGCTTCGAGCACTCGTCTTCTTAGTATAGAACCTAGAAACTTGCCTTAACGTACGGATCGGCGCACTTCTAGAAATGACCTATTTAAGCTATACTAACTTATAGCGTAGATTGCCGGTCTTACAACCGCGCCGTAGCGTTTCCCGAAGACCGTCTAGAAGTAGTAAGGATATCCTCGTAGGACTTGTAGCTAGTATTACCGATATAACTAGTAAATACGACTCGGTTGCCCTTCTAGTTAGTAATAGTTCCCTCCTAGGAACTATCGTCGTAGTTACGCTAGATACCTCGAGTTATACGAGACTATAGTCGACCTAGAATAATTAGCGTGTTTAGGTCGGCGGCAATCTAGAAGGTAAAGGAAAAGCATATACCGAAGGCGTCTACTATAACATTGTAGCAAGCACCTACTAGCGCAACCTCCCTATTTACTCCCTATATACCGAGGGAAATGTTTCTGTTTATTAGTAGCATAAGTTGTTTAGTCTAACGCTTACTTATAATAAGTAACTCTGAACTATTATTAAGTATTGCTAGCATCTGTTAACTATAGCTCCCGATAGTAACTTAAATATAGATAGCGGGAACGACGGCGAAGGAACGGGTAACTGCGGAAAGGTCTATATTATTAGGGATAGAATAAAGTTCCTTAGGTCGAGGAGGTCCTACTCGACCGATTTGTTAGCTAGTAAACCGGACAGCCTTAATAGAGACTAAAACTAGAGTAGGGTCGGGATTATTACTATCCCCTCGGCCTATCTCCTTAACTCCCTCTTCGTTAGTATTATCGATAGTATCTTAGTTCTCGTAGGTTACCGATTCGCCTTCTACTAACTCTTAGGCATCTGAAAATTTAGGAAGGAACTATAGGGAAGAGACGTCGATATAGTCTTCTCGTCCTTGTTTCCTTCGGAGGGCAGCGAGGTCTTTTATAAAGGTAGTATCGTTAGGGATTCGGCTCTAGAACAGGTTAGTAGGCAAACTGTATGCTAATAGCTCTCCTATAGACATATTAGACTTAAGGTCCAGGAACTATAAAGCCTAGAAGAGAGCGTTTGCCTTTGTGTCTAAGGAGTTAGCTAGGCTAGTACTATACTTTTTTATATACCTATTAAAGCGAAAGCTCTTTAGGTCGGATAACTTCCGTTTGTAGGCAGGTAGGTTAGCTAGGCCTAGGGTACTACTAATGTCGGTAGTAACATCCTCTATATCGACCTCTAGAGTCTCTAGGACGACTAGGCCTTCTATAGGTAGGGTACTAGGGGCGGTGCTAGGTGCGGTGCTAGATCGGGCAGCGCGGTCTATAGCTATCTAGAGAGTCTTAGTTTTAGCGGTTAACTCTCGCTATTACTTAGCCTTATCGGCCGCCTTGTTCTTTAGTACCCTAGTAGAGGCTGCTGCACTAGGGCGAGTAGGGTTCTAAGGGCTCTTACCCTTGCTTTAGGACTAGGTCTAAGACCGTATAGCAGCGTAGACATCTATACCATTCTTAGTAACCGCGTAAACATTAGTAACTGCGTCCGGATCCTAAGAAACAAAGTTAACTTTAATAGGCTTAGTAGTTCCGTTACTGCTTCGCTCCTTAACCTGTTTTGCCCTAACCTTCTAAGTTTCTCGTTTAGCAATAGCGGCGAGGGTACTATTCCTAGTATCCTTAAACTCGATCCTACCGCTACACTTCTTTTCCAGAAGGGTCTTTAGCTAAGGCAGCTTCGGGGCTCTCCGATCCCATTCGAAATCAATCTTGTCGCCGGTGTCTATATAGCAGAATCGGCTATTTACTTGCATAACAAGCTTCCTCTTAAGAAGCTCTTTCTAGATAGGGTAGGACGATTAGACATGTTTAAACCCGCTACACATCTAGCACTTACCATCCAAGTTAGAACAGATCTTCTATATAGCGTAGACATCTACTAAAGGGGCTTTAGGGCAGTTAGGATCTAAAACCTAGTAGACTAGCGGTATATCGCCTAGTATAGTAGCATTAATAACCTCCCTAACTCGCCACAATGCTTTCGTATTCAGGTTTAGCTAAGCTAGGGATTTAGCTAAGTCCGTAACGTCTTAAGAGTGCTTAGTGGTGGTAGGAGTTACGGTCTTGGGACTACTTTGCGATTTAGGAAGGAACTTAGGTCCCTTGTTTCCTAAGGCTTCTTTCCTAACCTACGCTAGGTTATTCCGGTCTTCGCCGTAGGTAAACTTCCTCGTGTCGGCTGTACTGTTAATATCGGCCTTGATACATACTAGGACCTCTTTATATCTCCTAAAACTCTTAGGATCGGACTCGCTAAGCTTGCAGCGACGGAAGATACGCTAAGCTATAGGCTATAGCAACCCCTAGAGGAGCAGCCTCGTTCTCTAAGAGTTTTCGAGGTTACTCTATTTAATGCCGTCCGCTAACTCGACAAACTCGCGGACATACCCCTTTAGGTCGTTATCCTTAGTGCGCCTTACTAAGTAGAGGGACTCGAGCTACGTACGACTGCCTTTAATGCGACGGCTATCGCGCTCCCGATATTCCCTTATAAAGGCTACCTTAAAGGTCTCCTAGTTAGTATTAGACTTGTCGTCCTTTTCTAGGTAGCTAACTAGGGTTTTAAGGGTTCGGTAAAGCTTAGAGGAGGTAGTCCTCGTAAAGGACCGAATCTTGTACTAGTCGGACTCTCTATCGAGCTCGTAATTAACTAAGCCTTCCTTAAAGCGCTTAATATGTGCTGTAGCGTTCTACCCTTCGAATAAAGGGTTTGTAGTACTTCCTAGCTCTAGCGGGCGACGCTTGTTTTAACGGAGAAGTTTAGTTTACTTCTCTATTATCTTTATAATAACATTATAGAGCGCCTCTAGCGTAGAAGGCGTAGGAGGCTTACTTATATTAACTAGTCGCCGCCTGATTTCTTCGTTAATAGGATTAGGGGCGGTTTCGGATTTAGAGGATTCCGCTAATTCTTAATACTCGTTCTCGCTAGAGCTAGAACTTATTCGACTGTTATAAAATAGTTAAAATGAAATGCTATATTGAAATGAAATGCTATATAAAAGTGTTTTTAGTGTGTTTGGTTTGTTTGGTTTGTTGTAATATTACTACGCGAGAGAATAGTCTGTTAGGCTGTTTCTCCTAGTATTACCCCTAGGGTAGCATTAGGATTTAGCCTCCTAGGGGTCGCCTAACTACCTCTAGGAGCTTAGTTTAGTATTGTTAGACGAAAGCCGCTCGGAGGGAGAGACTACAATCTCTATTTATACCTAGATCCTAGAAACTAGCTCGTATCTCCTTTAGCTAGGCAGGGGGCGGTAGCCTTCTTTTTTTTTTTAGTAGAAGGCTAAGCACTATCTAAGCGAGGCTGCGAATCTAGGAACGCCCTACCCGATTAATAGGGGACTCCCCGGCTATCCGACCTGCAAGCCGTATTTGCTATTAATTAATAGTCTTAGTAAACCAAGCAAGGCCGATAGGTAATTAGTCTATCTCCTCCTTAGGCGGGGCTTATCTCGAGTAAGCGGTACTAAATAGGTCTTCGACCCGGAGCCGAGTCCTTAGAAGCTAGCTATAGCTATAGACTAGGCCCTAAGCTATAACAGTCCTAAGGGTTTGCAGCTTTTCGGGGTTAAAGCGATACCCTCGTTAAGAGGTTTCTCTACTTGTCGTAATAGCCCCTTAAGATACTTCGGTATCGTCCGTATCGTAGGCTCTTATCGTGCCCTCGCTTCGGTTATAGCTATTCGTGCCTAGAGACCACCTTTAACATACCCGAACCTATTAGATATAAAGAGATAGCCCTACCTTCGGCTCTAATAAAGGACGGAAACTAATACTACTACTACTACCTATAGTAATAGTATAGGCTACCGAGGGTAATACGACCTATAGCAATATAGGCAGCCATGTTTAGCATAATAGGATAACAAGACGGTTGCTTAGGCTAATAACTAGAGCCCTGCAATATAGGCATTATAGAAGTGTAATATAAACAATGTGCTATACGAGGTTAGTGCTCTATCTACAATGCAGAAGGAGGCCTCTTATATAGGCTTAAAACTCAGCCTAGGTATGTAGGGCCGGTTACTAGCCAATAATAGATAAGGACAATTACCTATAGCGCTCCGGAATATAGTACTCCGATATAGAGCAATAGCTTAAGTCTAGCTACTAGGCTAATACTATAGTGCTAATCTATAATATACTAGGCTTTATTACGATCGATTATATACTACCTATAGGTATACGACTCTTAGACCTTAAGCTTAGTAATATATTCTAAATAATCGACGACGCTACGATCTCGATAAAGGACCTTAGTACCTAGTATACCTACTTAGTAGAGGCGTACGGCTTCCCGCGTACTAAACGTAAGCCGATCGGCCCTCTATATCTATACTATACGGCAAATACGGACAGCAAGCACAAAATCGCCCTAATCTATAGCTAATATATCCTTATAGGTAGCGTAGTTTTCCGCCGCAAGGTAGTATACTAAGTCTAGGCTACCTCTGTCGATAATGCCCTAGATTAGGCGATAATCTCGTAGGTTCTACTAGATATCCTAGGCGAGATAGAGCCGCTAATAGCTATACGCGACTAGTAGAAGCGTTAGAAGAAATACTGCGAGGATCTAGTATACCTACTCTACGGCAAGTAGCTAAGAGCTATCTCGGCCGGATAGCTAACCTTTAAGGAGGACTAGGTAGAGTAGGCTATAGAAATTAATATCGTCGCGGTACCGGACTACGTCTTAGAGAATATAAAAGCAGCCCTTAATCGTAAGGCAGACGCCGGTACTATAGACGTAGCGCTCGACTACTTCCTTCGAATAGCGTACCTATAGTTACAAATAGGCTATATACTATACGAGGATCGAGACTAGACGCTAAGAACGGGCTATAAGAAGAGTGCGACGCTACGCCTAAACGACCTCCTATATAACTATAATAAGGAGGATAGCAATCCTATCTCCCTCTATCGAGGACTAGGACCGAAAGGTATCGCTAGACGATATAGAGCGCTTATACCCTAATAGCAAGCCGATCCGTATCTATATATTCTAGACGAGCTCGCTATAGTAGTAAAAGCTATAACCTACGCTAGTACCGTAGTAGTAGACGAGCCCGGCTAGCCTCTATAGAAGACTCGCGCTACACTAGCGTAGGCACTAGTACCGTAGCTACCGACGCTAGGCCTATCCCGACGTAAGTCTAAGTACGCGGCAGTACCTAAGGACAAGCTCGCCCTGCCTATAAAGCTACCTACTCTATAGGTGCTACTAACAACCAAGATAAAGGCGCCTATATCTCTATTACTAAAGATTCCTATATAGCTAATAGGCACGCGCTAAGCTAAGGCTAGCCTAGCTAAGACCGCGGGTACGCGTACGTCTAAGCGTAAGGCGGCCGATAGCGACTCGTTTATAAAGAAAAAGATACGCAAATTACAGAGCTTTACGGAGGGCAAGGCTACTAAGGCTAAGGCTACTAGCTCTAAGATAGAACTAGAATTAGTTAACTCCGACAAGTAAGACTAAACTAGTAGACGCCGATATAATACGAGCGCTAGATTTAGACTAAACAAGGGAGATAGAGATACCCTAATATATATAAAAAGGTATAAGCTATACGAGATACATTAGGCGAGGAAAACGGAATTCTAAGAGGAGTACGGGCACGGCTGTCTTAGTACGCTAGCTTTCGTTCTATCGGATAGGGGTACTATTACGGTAGGTACAGAACGCCGGGCCTATATATACTTCCGTAGGACCGTAGATACTCTTACTAATACTATACCTTTATAGACCTGCTAATCGTCCCTCGTATAACATAGCCTATTACTAAGCGCTAAGCCCTGCCTAAGGCATTAAGACCCTAGCTTTACTCGAGTCCGGTTATATACTAATTACGTATAACCTCTTTAGTCCTAATACCTAAACGGCGGAAAGATTACTAAAACTACTAATATATATAGCTAAGCTTGTAAGGAGTTACATAATAGCAATTATAGTAATTAAGAACATTAATCTTTTTTATTTTATATTACCTTAGTCTATTATATAATATAGAAGAAATTTTTACTTATAGTTTAGCTAGTACTAGTTATTTTATATTAACCTTTTATCTAAGCTTTATAGTAGTATTAGGTGCAATTGTAATAGCATTTAGTAAACATAGTTTGAAATTTTTATCTTTATTCGTAGTAAGAGGCTGTCTATTAGTTTTATTACTATTACTAGTATTAATTAAATTTATATTATATCTTGCAATAAATGTATTACTAGGTCTAAGATTAGTAGTAAATATACTTTTAGGTTACATGTTACTTAATATACTTAGCGGTTTTACGTAATATAATTACTTTAGGATTTATATTTTTATTTTTAGCTTTTTTTCCTCTTGTATTTATTATAGCCTTTTCTAGATTATAATTAGGTATCGCTTTTATAATTAAGTCTTTATAGTAATATTATTCCTATATTAAAGATGGATTATATCTATATTAAAGATAGGTTATATATACATTAAAGATAGGTTATATATATATTAAAGTTTATAAAAAAAATTATTATTGTTTTTATAATACCTTAGAATAAACGTTATATATCGTTTTATAAGGTAAAAAATAATAGCATTATATTAATAGTTTATTGCTAAGTAAATAAATAATAAATTAAACAAACTTACCGAGTAGTCATTCACCGACCAGTAGCCGGAACTTCCCATATCGGCACACTTGCCGCAACCTATCCTTCTTGAGTGGGGAAGCACTCGGGAGCTCCACACCCGCATACCGACTAGATCTATCTACTGACCATCAAAGATCTAGTCGAAGAGCTGCAACCAAAACATGCTGTCCATAAATTAGGCTCCTCATCATAGCATCTTCTGCACTTCGACCCTCTCCCACAATTCTAATAATGGCCGTTCTCGGACGCCTGGCCAACAAAGTAGCAATCATAACAGGCGCCGCCTCAGGCATTGGCCGAGCCACAGCATTCGCCTACCACAAAGAAGGCGCAAAAGTAATCTGTGCCGACATTCGAGAAACAACACGCTACACCGGCAGCAAAGAAGAAGAAAACGGCACAACACATGCCCGAATCCAAGACTTAGGCGGCGAAGCCTTCTTCCACCACGTCGACGTAACCAACCCAGAATCCGTCGAAACCCTCATCAAAACCGCAGCCTCCAAATACGGTCGTCTCGACATCATGGTCAATCACGCGGGTGTATCTCTCGAAGCGAAGAATTTCCGACCTGTATGGGACATCGAACAGGATGTATGGGAAGGGACTCAAGCGGTGAATTCGACGGGAGTATTTCTCGGGACGAAATTCGCGGTGAGGCAGATGTTGAGGCAGGAAGCGTTTGCGAGTGGTGATAGGGGTTGGGTGATTAACACTTCTTCGATCCTGGGGTTTGTGGGGGCGGAGCATACGGCGGCGTATTGTGCGTCGAAAGGAGCGGTTTTGAATTTTACGAGGGCGGCGGCGGTGGATTGTGCGCCATTTAGGATTCATGTTAATGGGATTGCTCCCGGGTATACGCAGAGTGCTATGACGGGGCCGCTGTGGGAGGATGAGGGGGCGAAGGCGAAGTTGCTGGGGAAGCATCCGTTCAGAGGACTTGGGCAGCCGGAGGATATTGCTAAGGCTTGTGTGTTCCTTGCGAGTGAAGATGCGCAGTGGGTGACTGGTCATACCTTGCCTGTGGAAGGGGGATACTTGGCTCAATAGTCACGTTGTTGCATGGTCGTTGAATTCTGTACAGATTAGCACGTATATACACAAAATCTAGGACTCACGAGTATCTTCGATCAAAGCTTCGGCTTTCCTGCAGTCTCTTTCTTGACTCTGTCTTTCAGCACCCGTCTCAATATCTTGCCACTTGCGCTCTTGGGAATTTCATCGATAAATCTGATCCCGCCACGCAGCCTTTTATGGTTCGCAACCTTGTCTGCCACCCACTGCACAATCTCATCTGCGTCCTTCTGAGCATCCGCATTTGGAACACCGGTCTCTGCATCGCCAGCATTTTTGCCTTTTTTGGCATGAACAATATACGCTCGAGGGACTTCGGTATGGTTCTCTTTGTCCTCGACACCGATGACTGCCACATCATTGACGAGTGGATGATCCATGAGTTTGCCCTCGAGCTCTGCTGGCGCAACTTGGAATCCCTTGTATTTGATCAGCTCTTTCACTCGATCTGTGATGTAAAAGTTGTGTTTCTCGTCCTGAAATTTCGAAGGTCAGCGTACGTCTCAGAAATCGTGGTGCTCTCAAGTTACTGCCTCTTACCTGAAATCCAACATCGCCTGTCTTGAACCATCTCATGCCATCGATCGTCTGCAAAGCCTCCTTTGAAGCTTCTTCGTTCTTCCAATAGCCTTGGAACACGTTTGGTCCGGCCATCCACAGTTCTCCCACCTTTCCAGGTCCGAGTTCTTGGCCGTCGGGATCGACGTATCGAGCATGCATATTTGGGAATATCTTGCCAACGCTCCCGACGGACGAGTACCACTCATCCCATGGCTGGGTATGCGTCATCGGACTGGTCTCGCTCAACCCATATGCTTGGTTGATCTTGATCTTGTACTTTTTGTGTACAGTGTCAACCAGCTCTCGAGTGAGCGGAGCTGCGCCAGAAGTGATCATCTTCAGCGAGCTGAGGTCGTAATTAGATACTGTCTCATCTCGAGCCAGACGGACGATGACCGGAGGTGCCACATAGATGAAAGTGATTTTATGCTTCTGAATCGTCTCGAGGAATAGCTGGAGATCGAATCCCGGCATTACCACAAGTTCGATGCCGCGATGCAGCGATTGATGAATCAGCCCCGTGAGTCCATAGATGTGGAAGAAGGGCAAGACCGCAAGTATTTTGTCCTGGCCAGATGAATACCATTTTCCCATCGCGCCATGGATCTGGCTCAGGTCAGACACTATATTCCTGTGGCTGAGCATTACACCCTTCGGAAGCCCTGTCGTTCCTGAGGAATAACAAAGGAAAGCAAGGTCTTTACTAGGGTCTTTTGCCTTTCTGCGTCGATACCGCAAAGCGCCAGATGTCTTACGGATGTTGGTCCAGTGCTTGAAGCGGTGAGTATCATCCTTTGCTTCACCTAGCAGCAAGATACGATCTGTAGGGATCCCAGCCTTCTCGGCGGCCTTTTGAGCTGCCGGAAGGAATGCCTTGGTGGTTACAATCGCCTTACTACCTGAGTTCTTCAACTGGAACGCCAGCTCGTCAGGAGAGTAGCCAGGATTTGCTGGAGAGACAATGCCACCAGCGAAGTAGAGGCCGAAAACTATAGGGCCGACATCGATGTCATTCGGAGCATAAATATTCAGCACATCTCCTCGTTGCCAGTCCCATAAGTTACAGAGTCCCTCGCCAAATGCTGTCGCCGCTGCTTTGACTTCGCCGAATGTGTATTTGCGATCCGAATTGCAGGATCGGAATATCACTACTCGTCGTCAGCAAGAGTTCGGAATGGGAATACGCTGTCTCAACCTTGGTCGTCCGAAAAGTCACGATCCTTTCGCTCAAAGATGAATGCCCACAGGTCGACATTTGGGATCTCTATGTCTGGGAAGGACGACTTTGTCGGCATTGCTGAAAGAGCCCTGGTGAGAGCGACTTGATATCCTCGCAGGTCCTCGGGGTCTCTCGTGAAGATACCAAAATGTCAGTGAGTGAATGAACCAGTCTTGATGACCTTATATCTGAACTATGATGCACTATACAGGATGGCACAATGCCCGAGAGATGTCCTTGAAGACTCCGTCGCCGCTAGAATATGATGCGATCTGGACCAGCCACTTCAGGCGTATTAGCCGAGGAGAGATGGATGGATCATGTGATTCCATTGGCTTTCACGATCACGACCAAATATATAGACTTTCTTGGCTCACAAACAGACCTCATTCTGAATACACACACCTTGACTTCACCTTCGTTGTGCCCAAAACACCTTCTTCTTGGGTCTAACAAAGATTTCAAAAGAAAATCATCTACAAGTCGTGCGTCAAGCAGCAGTCATCGGCCTTTGGAGCAGGCCAGCGACGGTGACTGGCGCTTGCAATTGCCGCCTGAACCAAAGCAGCTTTCTGCCGACCATAATGCATCGCTCTGCGTCGGCTCATCTTCGCGGAGTCCTCACGTATACTTGCAATTTCTTGATCCTGGAACAGCTCAGATTCGACAGTAGAAGATCTACAGACTCAAGCGTGCTGGCCGAGCGGTTTTGCCAGCGTTTCGGTCTTGTGATTTTAATGAGAACGACGTGTCCGGCGTAGGCAATGCTAAGCGCTCTTTTCGATGTAGAACAACCCACAGTTCTCCATCTTCGTCTCCAGCGTACACATGGATGCCATGTGGGACCCCCAGACCGAGCATCATCCACTCCGGAGATCGCATATATATCGGATGGCCCTGAGGAAATGGTGCTACTGGTTTGTGCGAGAGGTGCTGTTCATGCTCGGCGGCCCTTGCTGAAAGATGCCTCTGTCAGGACGACTCCTCAACTGGGCCATCACGGCCGTGGCGGGCTCTGGGTTCCTACTGTTCGGATACGACCAAGGGGTGATGTCTGGATTGCTCACAGGCACAGCATTCATAAAACAATTTCCCGAGATCGACACCACTGATACCGGCAACGGCAGCTCCTCTTTACAAGGCACTGTGGTCGCCATCTACGAGATTGGATGTTTCTTCGGCAGTATCTTCTGCCTCTTCGCAGGCGAACGACTGGGCCGCAGGAAATGTATATGGCTTGGCTGTATCGTCTTGAGCATAGGCGCGGCGCTGCAAGCCTCTGCGTATGGGATCCCGCAGATGATTGTGGGACGAATCGTGGCGGGGCTTGGGAACGGCATCAACACGAGCACTATACGTAGGTTTGCGAGATTGAGGTTCGAATGCTGGAGCTAACAATTCTTGAAGCTGTGTGGCATTCTGAACTTATGAAGGCCGAGAAGCGAGGGAAAGGACTTTCAATCGAGTTAGCCATCAACATCTTCGGAGTCATGACGGCATACTGGGTCGATTACGGGATGAGCTTTGTGGACAATGAAGCCCAGTTTCGATTCCCACTCGCCTTACAGATTCTATTTGCAGTCGTAACTTTCACTGGTCTGCTTTTCTTGCCAGAGTCGCCGAGGTGGCTCATCGCACACGACCGATTCGAAGAAGCTAGAGACGTGCTCTCTCGAATTCGAATCAAGTCCGATGCTGAAGACAGCGCAAGTGCTGATCTGGCGCAAATACACCATGCCATCGAGGAGGAACGAGCCGCTGCAGCCGGCAGCAACTTCCGAGCTCTGATCAAGGACGGCGGGCAGCGGTTTCGCTATCGCACACTGCTTGGTATTGGTGGACAGTTCATGCAGCAGCTGAGTGGCATCAATCTGATCACGTACTACGCTCCTGTGATCTTCCAGCAGTCTGTTGGCCTCTCACACTCCTTGTCACTGCTCCTGGCCGGGTTCAATGGAGTGGCCTACTTCTTCTCCTCCCTACCACCAATCTGGATTCTGGATCGACTTGGGCGCCGCAAGCTCATGCTATTCGCATGTGCAGGACAAGCATGCTGTAGAAGTAAGAGTATATAAGACGAGTATTAGGTTATATAGTAATATAATAGCCTCTATTCGTAATACTAGAATAATCCTAAAGTTTCTTCGCCATAGGACTTCTCGCAATTCCATGGCTATTACCTGCTGAGTACGCTCCTCTAGCGATCAGAACGAAAGCCGCGAGTCTTGCCAGCGCAAGTAACTGGATCTTCACTTTTCTGGTCGTGGAAATCACTCCGGTCAGCATCTCTTCGATCGGGTACAAGACCTATATCTACTTCGCCATTTTCAATGCTTTGTTTCTGCCGCTGATATATTTTTTCTATCCCGAGACCAGAAATTTGAGCCTTGAGCAGATTGATCGGCTCTTTACTGGACCCAAGGTTCTCATGCATATACGAGAAGCCGGCAGTGTAGACGAGGTCGTACTTGGGAAGGCTGCGATACAGCAGGAAGATGTGAAGGATGCTGCAGTTGACCGAGTCGATCGCGTTTGATGTGGTCTGCGCTGCTTTACTAAGTCGTGTTATATCTGGAGGCCTCAAACGTACACATGGCCAAGAGAAGTCCTGCAAATATATTCAAGCGACCAGCACTGTTGAGGTTGGGTACATGCCCAGAGCTGGCGGCCTGTTGGCAAAGACTCAAAGAGATAGCCTGGTCTATTCTTATAGCAAGATCAGACTCCTGCCTCTATGTCGGCAGTTGAATCATGTGAAGACGCCGAGACTTGATTATACGCAATCACCTTTGACGCGACACTTCATGACAAAGTTGTGGATACACGCCTTGTGGGTAGAACTAAGTGGCTCCAATCCGGCGAACGCCGACAACGATTGAACTCCACCTTGAAAGCAGTGTTCCGGAATCCGCAAACTCTTCAGCAACAAAAACCTGCAATGACTTGTCTGCCGCATTATCATCCTGGCTCCAATAATAACGCCTCTCCTTATATACTGGAAACACATCAAGCTTGGATTTTCCTCACTTGCACTAGGCACGGGCCGCCCCGGGACTCCAGTTTTATGGCTCAAGCAGGAAGTTGTGGAGATCGCAGCACGTGCTAGTTCGATGGCCCCAAACGCCGGGGCCATGTTCGCTTGGAGAACACTCGGTTTTTGTACCTGAGTCCGATCCAATGCTCCGGGCACTATGCCGTGTTCCTGCATTGAATCTTCACTTACCCAGAACTCCCACATGTTCGACCGGCGTTGTGCCGTTTTGGGAATCCACGAGGCTAATGGATAGGTGGGTCGAAATACTTCTCGGCCTTGAAGGAGGAAAGTGGTTTGTTTTTACAGGAGCACCCTGGTCATCTATGGAGATGAGAGTCAACGTTTCTTGTCTTTGGTCGTTTAGTTCTACTCCTCCTTCTCTTTTACAACTAAACAGACAGGATGGATGTAACATCGAGATAGCCTCACGAGGTTTAAAAAAGGCAGTCTCTCGAAACGATATCCTCTCGGGTCAAGAGGAGGCATCCTGTACCTTGCCTGGGCATCGATAGGCAGTCCGATCGAACCCCGAACTTCCGCCATTTCACATCGCTCCTCTCGACATGACAACTCTGGAAAGCAGAGCAACGCTCGGTGTAGCCATCACCTTCTTCATTCTATCATGGATATCTGTCGGATTGAGGGTCCTAGTGCGAGCCGGCATGCTGCGGAACTTTGGCGCAGATGACTGGACAATGTTAGCGACACAGCTCCTCTTCAGCGCATACCTCACCGCCCAGTTGATAGGGGTGGCATATGGAACAGGACAACACCTGGAAGACCTGATCCCATGGCGAGCCGAGAGGGCATTGAAGGCGTGGTATTTCTGCGAGATCTTCTACGTCTGCTCGACGTCCTTCCTCAAGGTATCCATCGGCCTGTTCTTGTTACGGGTTGCGACGAATAAAATTCATATCTGGATTGTGAGGATGATCATGATACTAGCGGCGGTGTTTGGCTTCGCTTTCTTATTCGTGGTCATCTTCCAGTGCTGGCCTATCAGTGATTGGTGGAGCCTGGATCCTACCCAGAAGCATTGTATCAAGCCGGATATCGTCATTGGCCTGACTTATGGTGTGTCTGGGTTGAATGTCATTGCGGACTGGACTCTAGGGATTCTTCCTGCCTTCATCGTCAAGGACCTACAAATGTCAGTCAGGCAGAAGCGACTCGTTGCGATCATTCTTTCCTTCGCGGCAGTGGGATCTACAGCTACGATTGTGAGACTGCCATATGTTGGCAGTTTGGCGCAAAGTTTCGATGGCTCCGAGGGAGATTTCCTTTGTAGGTCTCGAATGATACCAGTCTGGACCTGTGGACTTCTTTGCTGACCGTCCCTCACAGATACTACTGTCGGTGTCGCCATCTGGACCACAGTTGAGATAGGAGTCGGTATAACAGCAGGCTGCATGGCCACACTGCGGCCGCTGATCCGCATGGCTTTTGAAAGATTGGGCCTCAGCAGCAGCAGTGGAGTCCGCAAGTCTACCGGCTTCCGTGTACCCCAATACTCCAGAGGTCGTGCAACACCCCTCGACGAATTCGTGATTGTCTCGCCAAAGCATGGCAAGACAGTAACGACAATCACCGGCAATTTCGACGGAGAGGAGAGGGCGAGCAGCGACAGCCAAGAAGGATTGTCGAGGCCGCAAATACCAAGTAACATAACGAAGCACTTCGTCGTAGAGTATGATGATGCAAAGCCGGATCATGAGTATGAACAGGGCTTTACATCGCTGCCGAAGCGAAGCTGACAAGCGGCTTCTGTATGAATCAGAGTATATTGCCAGACAGCGCCTGGTTGCACATCCGGCTCTTCTGTCCTGTTCCTTTTTTTTATCTTCTACGTTCCTCGTCTCTTGCAGTATTTTGGGTGTTCCATGCTATGCCTCGGACTCTTCATCCGGTATTGTAGCCGTATCCTAATCCGGTCCCGTAATGGAGGACAGTCGCCCTGATATGCTACCGTAGCTTGTACTCGTTCGCCGGAACATCGATGGTAAGAATTGGCAACGGCAGTGGTGAATGAAGTGTGCTTCATTCGATGGTTGAAACCCTGAACCTGCCAAGGCTCCAATCTCCTCTCCTCTCCTTCGGGTTCCTTGGGCTTGCTCTACCATACACACTCAAGTATCATACCATAGCGAGTGAAAGCCGCACATCGTACATCATGTCACAGCAGGCGATGCCGTGCTTCAAGCTATGATCGAGGTTCAAGCTTCTGTCGCGGCTACCTGCTTTGACCTCGGTCACACTCGCTAATACGTTCAATTCACAATACTGCCACCCAGTCCACGAAGCTCTTATCGCGAATTGCCTGGTCGAGGAGAGATGATGAGGAGATGAAGATGCCTTGGCGATCTTGCAACACGACCCTTCGACCGTCCTTCCATTCGTCTTTTCATGTTTCTTTGGATGAGGAGGAAGCATAGTCTCGCAGGAACCGCGAGCTCAGAAATGGACTAAGAGTTGGAACCTCCGTATACAGCTGCGCTTGGGGTACAAGATGAGATATATGGGTCCGTATCCTTGCGCAAAGCCTGCAGCTGTCTCGCCAGCTGAAAGACGGAACAACTGGAAACTAGCTGATCATGGCTGGGAAGGTTGTCGGAGCAGCTGTGCATTCCGCACCGGTGTTTATGAACAACGAGAAAAGGAAGTGATCAGTCTCATAGCGTAGGCAAAAGAGGAAGATATCGTGCTTGTCCATATCTGGTAGGCCATTAAAACATGTTGACATGCAGTAGTACTTTATCGAATGCTACCCACCTCTCAAGCAGGTCGCGGCCCTAGCACAGGATGCCGAACAAAGCGTCGTAGTCTCGAGAGATCTTGCAGGAGTCCAATCCGCATGTCGACAACACAGCATCGCCATTGTGCTCGGGCTTTCTGAGCGAGTCGCTGACGGCCACACTCTGTTCAACTCACAGGTCTACATCTCTGCTAATGGTGCTATCATCGGTGTTCATCGCAAGCTGCAACCGACCTTCGTCGAGCGCGTTGTTTGGGCACAAGGCGGTGGCCTTGATGAAAAATCATGCCCTCGCTGTACAGGTGTTCGTCCTCTGCACAAGCAATTCAGTTGATGACACACGTCTGGAACTAACAACCTTGGTCCCCAAGACATGGTCAAGCAAGGCGGCGGTTCCACCGAGATCATCTATCCCTTCTACATTTAACTGGCTGGACCTCATACCGGAGCAGAAGAGAAGCTTGTGACGGCGGAGATTGATCTGAATCAATTGGGTATGGAGAAGGGATGAATCGATTCGTCTGGCCATTACAAGCGACTTGAAGTCGTCTAAGTTTCCATCAATGGCGACCCGTCCTGGGCAGACGACGTACGCAGTGCAAGTTGGCCCACTACTGTTAAACGCAATGAGGACTCATGAGTCCTAGCAATGATCGGACCGAGCGCCGGAATACCTCGGCTAAGGTGGCATTGTTCTTTCTTCAATCAAAGAGTGCTCATTGACAAGGCCTTTGTACTTCAGGTGTGTCTGTCTGTAGCGAATGTACGATGGCAAAGACCTCGAAGTCCCCCGAATTGAAGCGTAGCCTTTTCGACACCACGATAGAAGATCCGTTGCTTCGTGTTCAAAGCTACTTGAATGGCTATAGACAAGACAAAACATACAATGTGAGAGATCGCCCGTCAGTCTCGGCTCTGATGTGACATGAAATACTGATCTTCTATCGCAGGGACCGGATCGGCTAATTTTCCAGCACATCAAAGTCGTCTCTGCCAAGCGAAGTCAAGCAGACACAGAGGGCATGGAGGCGTACGTCGTCTTTGAGATGAAAGTCTTCCCAGAAATATGCAACGGGATGGGTAACATGCACGGAGGAGCTGTCGCCATGCTTGTCGACAACACAACGACTGCAGCAGCGTGCCCGGTAGCAGAGGATGGTTTCTGGGATTTCGGCGGCGTCTCAAGAACTTTGCAAGTGACATACCTACGACCTATGCCCATGGGAAGGACATTTGTGATTGAGAACATGGTCCGTAATGTTGGTAGAAGTCTTGGTAGGTAATTTGGACTGCTAGTCTGACGAGATACTTGAGCTGACCGTGTTGTAGCAGCAATACAATGCATCATCCGGGACAAAGAAAGTGGTAAGATCGTTGCGCTTGGAGAACACGGAAAGGCTGCTCTTGAACCGCAGGTGAAGAGGAAGAGATCAGGACTGCTATGAAGACACCTTCTGGTTCTGCGAGCCTGCGCGGCATGCCATTTGCTCATCGAATCGACAAAGGCGCCAAGACGAGTAGTAAGCTGAAAGAAATCGAAGCGGAGGCAAGCAGTATCTCGGCCGATAGACAACCCATCGTATGTCCACCTCCGTGTTGACAATGCTCACCTCGACGTCTACCTGGTTCTATTTCCTGGATACCACCGGCCGCAATGGAGACCAAAGGCCGTAGATTACCAAGCTTCAATCGTGTCGAAACGATAGTGGACAGACGCCGCGAACCTATTTAACCAGGTTGATCTGCTCTGCAATCCAAGAAACCAAATCCCCAAAAGTAAACAGCCTGCAGCATGTCTACCTATTTGATTACAGGCACATCACGAGGCATTGGCCTCGAGCTCGTCAAGCAATTGATCGACCTGCCGTCGACACAAGTCGCCAACGTCTTTGCAGTGACCAGGTCCGATCCAAGCGAAGGACTCCAACAGCTTATCGACAAATCCGAAGGTCGCATCGTCAACGTCGTGATCGACGACATCTCCAAGGAAGCAAGCGTTGCGAAAGGAGTAGCAGAGCTCCAGCGACATGGAGCTAACTCAATCGATGTATTAGTCAACAATGCAGGAATCATGCCCATCACACCTAGCATAAGGAATATGAGCGGCGACCATCTGCGAGATGTATTGAATGTCAATCTTGTCAGCGCTCACGTCATGACCCTAGCGTTTTTCCCACTGCTGCAGAAAGGCCGAGAGAAAAAGGTCATCAATATGTAAGTGCTGGAAATTCAATCACATACTGATGTTGCCGACTGAGCGTTTCCTGCAGATCGACGACGATGGGATCCATTTCTATGACCCGAGACTACTCGTTTGCTCCTACACATGCATATAAGATCGCCAAGGCCGGTATGAACATGCTGAATGCTCAGTGGGCGATCGAGTTTGAGAAGGAAGGCTCTACGTTCCTCGCAGTATCTCCCGGTGTCAGTGTCTTCTCTTGACGTAAAGTTATAATGTCTCGCTGATTTGATTGCAGTGGCTGCAAACCGACTTGGGCTCACAGAATGCGGATTTACCGGTAAGCACTGGCGTAGAGAGTGTCAAACAAATCATTCTCAACAGTACGCCCGCGCAAAATGGTAAATTCGTTATAATCAAGGTGCCTGGATGGGAGGATGCCGACGGACCCAATAAGTACCATAGCGGCGAAAGTCCATAGTAGTTGCTTCGCTTTTCTCGATCAAGACAGACGCACAGTGCACAGCACGTCAGGAAAGAGTGTTAGGCTACGCAGACTGACAGTTGGTAAAGCTCGTATAAGAATAATATTTGTGTCATCTCCAAGCCTCTTGGCAGTCCAAAACTTGCTTCAACGCTTCTACTTCCCCAGTTATACATATATATAACAAACTCTCCAGGATCATGCTGGACCAGGATGTTATTCTGAGGAGAGATGACTTCACACTGGTAGAACTACCACGTCCCAAATACAACTGCTCATGCTGATGACACCGGAGACTGTGCAGTGTGTAAATCAACATGAGAGCAATTTCACTGCTTCTAGTTGCGCAGGCCGCAATCAGTGCCGCAAAAACCCAAGCCTCAGACGCAACCGACGTGGGACTTCATGTGATCTGGTCATACCCTGGTCCCAACGTCCCCCAAGAATTGACAGATGCTGTCAAAGCCGGCAAAGTTGGGGGTGTGATATTCTACGACGAAAACATCAAAAACGCCCAAGACTTTCCTGGCCAAGTCAAAGCCCTCCAAGAAGCTTATCAGGAATCATCCGCATATCAAGGCTTCCCACTTCTCATGGTAACCGATCAAGAAGGAGGCACAGTCAATCGCTTTCCCGGAGGACCCGACTCAGCCAAAACCGTCGGACAGGCCAGCGATCCTGCTGCAGCGGGCACGAAAGCAGGCGCTACCGTCGCCAGGATATTCGCAGCAAACAACATCAATGGTGATCTGGCTCCTGTGCTAGATGTTAGCCGTAAGGCCGGAGACTTCACGGATCGAGAGCAGCGTTCATTCGGATCGAATCCCGGCCTCGTCGCAAAGGCAGCAGGACCTTGGATCGCAGCTCTTCAATCAGCGGGATATCCTGCGACAGCGAAGCATTTCCCTGGACTAGGGACAGCAGCCGCAGATGCGAATACCGACTTGAAGCCTGTCACTCTTACCGTCTCCGCGGAAGAGCTGCGAAGAGTCGATATGAAGCCGTACGAGACTGCGATTGCGAATAATGTCTCTATGGTCATGACTTCGTGGGCGATATATCCGGCACTGGATGACGAGAACCCGGCTGGATTGAGTCGAACTATCGTTCAGCAGGAATTGCGTCTAAGACTTCGATTCCAAGGCGTCACCATCACTGATGCATTAGAGGCGGGAAGTCTCAAAGCATTCGGAAACACTGGAGAGCTTGCAGTGAAAGCTACTCAAGCTGGTATGGACATCCTTTTAGCGAGCGTTCGTGATGTGAAGCAAGGAAACGAGACATACAGTGCTGTTCTCGACGCTTTGTCGAAAGGCGAAATTGATCGAGGAGATTTCAGAGAAGCTACCGAGAGAATTGTTCGAATGCGAAGCTCGCTGAAGAATTAACGCTAAACATTCAACGAAGCCTTCTCCGGCCTGTGTACATGTATATAAAATATTATTACATCAACGTCTGCTGGTCATCAGCAACCTCCTAAGGTTGTCTCTTCTCCTCCATCTGTGCATAACACCGCTCACGAAGTCATATCGTGGAACTTCGAAGTGCTCTCATCAAGTGGGAGGATGCTTCCGTCGACTGGTACAATTCTCTTGTTCAATGCCTCACGCTTCCACGCCCAGACTCTGGTCATGAGGGAGGGTTGCTTCTTCCACAGGCACTTTCCGGATGCTGTAGGGCAACCTGGGTCTCGCTTGACGTCGACAGGAAGACCGTTCGTGCCTTCGAGAAGCTCATCCAAGATCTCAGTCTCGTCCCTCTTAAGGATAGTCGGAAGTCCGTTCTCGCCTTCGAGAAGCTTATCCAAGATCTCAGTCTCGTCCCTCTTAAGACCGGCAGGAAGGCCGTTCTTATTTTCGAGAAGTTCCTCCACGATCTTAGTCTCGTCCCTCTTAAGACCAGCAGTAAGGCCGTTCTCGCCTTCGAGAAGCTCTGTTACGACTTCAGGGGTGACATCTCTCTTGAGGCCAGCAGGGAGACCATTCTTAGTCTCAAGAATCTCATTCACAACATCTGGTGTAATGTCTCTCTTGAGGCCAGCAGGAAGTCCGTCCGTTTCCCCCAGAAGTTCTGCCACGACATCGGGCGTGATGTCCCTCTTGAGGCCAGCAGGGAGGCCATTCTTCGCCTCGAGAAGCTCGGACACAACATCTGGTGTGAGCTCCCTCTTCAAACCAGCAGGAAGGCCGTCCGTTTCACCAAGAATTTCCGTCAGGACATCGGGCGTGACTTCCCGCTTCAAACCAGCAGGAAGACCAAGATCATTCTTCGTCTCTAGAAGCTCTGATACAGCCTCAGGTGTGAGCGCCCTCTTCAAACCAACAGGAATACCATCCGTTTCCCCTAGAATTTCCGTCAGGACATCGGGCGTAACTTCCCGCTTCAAACCAGCAGGAAGACCAAGACCATTCTTCGTCTCCAGAAGCTCGGACACAATCTCAGTTGTATCACGTTGACCGAGTGTCTTGGTTTGAGTAAGACTTTCCGGAATGCTCTCAAGCGCTTGGATCGATACCGGATCTTCGTAGATCGGTAGGGCAATAACAGTGGCTGACAATGCCAGAATGGTACTGGCGGAGAATCGCATGGTTGCGAAAGCGGATCGAAATTCAGACCCAAGAAACGAGTGGACGGTACAAGCCAAGAAGTCGACTTTGAATCTGGTTCATCGTTAACTTCGGTCCCGATAGAATTCACAACAGAAGGACAGTATTACCGTTTGATGAAAAGCGAAGATAGGGCTGAATAATGAATGAACGAACGGACGAGAAGAACAACTTCTACAAGCAGGAACGCAAAGGATGAAGGATTCCTACGACAGGAGACATCCTCTTATAAGCAGATCCCATCCTGCCCTGCTAGCCTTTCTGTCGCGTAAACATCGCGTGCATGTCATTAATTGCAGCTTCATCACCAAATGCTCCCAAAAGCATCGACCGTTGGAGAGTCAGAGTAGGCTTTTTATCAGATCTTATTCGAAACAAGCCGTAGGGTCGTGCAACGGTCAAGCCGCACTTGTATAATAAGCCCGAAGCTGTAAATGACATAAGCTTTGAGATGCGGTTTTGGGCGTGGTGTTGTGGATCAGTCAGCACTGCTAAGTGCCAAGAGCTAATTTCCCAGTGATATATGTGGTATCTAGCGTAGATAGAACTTGATCCCTTCTTCTCTATACAATTCTATAGTTAATTAATCAATGACTTGTTCTGCTTAGCTTAATTATAATAGGTTATAAGCCCGGCGCATACGCTTACCTATCCTAACTAATATAGACGAATTGTTATTACAGAGATACTAGTTTAAAGCTAATTCTACTAGCTGCAGATCAAGTAGTATCTCTAGAGTTAATAACCGAAATAGGGCTACCCTATACTTAGTATTAAATTAGATCCAACTAATAATTAGTACCTATAAGCTAAGCGAGCTAAGAAAGAGCTTAGTAGTATAGCTAATAACAAAGAATCCGTAAAAAGCATTAAGGAAAATCGTATCCTTACGAGGACGACCAACTTTTTATTATAGAGACAGATCCTTTAGAAAGAGCTACTAAAGGAGAAAGTGCATAGATATGTACTTTATAACTTGAAATAGGCAAAGCTATACTACAAACCTCTCCGAATTGACTACGATAACGATCCGGATTTTAATAAAGCCCTTAGAGAGTTTATAGAGAAGGATAGCATTGCTATAGGCATTCTAGTTAAGATAATCTTACTAGATCTAAGACCTAATTTTAGGAGCATAATTACGCAGAAGACTGCTAAGGACTACTACGAGACTATAGCAGCTATATACTAACCAATTATTATAGTAGATATCTATAATACCCTAAAGGATTTTAGAACAGTTACTCTTAAGCAAGTAATATCCGACAGTACCCTTAAGTACTATAAAGACTTCTAAGTATAGGTGCAGAAGTATAAAACAGCTACTAAGCAGTTTAAAAGAGTATACGGGGTTAAGCCTAAGGATATTAAAATCCTAGATATAATAATTAGGATGCTCTTTATCAATAGTCTTTAGCACTATAAATAGCTTAGAAGCTAGAGGCACAATAACAAACTAGAAGGGACTAGCTAGACTCTCGAAGCAATAATTACATCCCTTAGGAAGGAAAAGCCTCTAAGGTTATAGAACTAGCAATAAGGCAAAGCCTTTACAGTTGTCTCTAACATTAAGGTTAGGGATAATAATAAGCAGTGTTAGTACTGCAAGCACAAGCATACTAATGCAAAGTGCTAGAAACAACATCCTAATAGAAAGCTATCTAAGGATAAGGATAAGTTAAAGAAGAAGTCAAAAGATAAGGACAAGTCCAAATCAAAGGATAAGGATAAATCTAAGTCTAGGAACAAGGCTGCAGCTGCTAGAAAAGATGATAGTAGCGATAATAATAACGAGTATAAATCAGATTCTAACTCGGAAGGCTAGGCTTTAGGGGCATACGTTACACTAACCCTAGCCTAAGCATCCTTTAATTAAAGCCTAACTCCTATTGTATTAGCATCCCCTGCAAACTAGGACAAAGCAATCAAAATCTAGGACACTAGCACATTATACTACATGTTTAACAACAAGGACTAGTTCTATAACCTTAGATCCCTTAAATCACCTACTAAGTTTAGCCTTGCTTTAGGCAAGGGAAGCTATAGAATAATTGGGGATATTTACCTTAAATTCCTTTAGAAAGGCAAAACTATAAAGATAGTGCTTAGAGAAGTGTTGTATTTACCTAACTCTAATATAAATCTAATCTTAGCAGAGAGGATCTATAGTAAAACTAGATACTTCCTATATAGGCTAACTATAACTATCTAAAGAAAGGATGGCAAGGTTATTAGAGAGGCAAAGATTAATAATGTTGTAACAGTTCTAAAGCATGTTAGGATTGTTCCTCCTAAAAGCTAGCTAGCTATTATACTAGCAGTTGCCTAACCGAAGGCAGATACTATTAGAGTGCATTAGAGACTTAGCTATATTAGAAGTGAGATACTAAATGCAACTAAAGCCTACTAAGACTATCTTAGCATTAACTATATTAATACCACCGAATTGGGGCACTATAAAGCCTATAAGCTTGTAAGGTCTTAGAGGATAGTCTTAAGGATTGTAAGAAGGACTCTAGTTCAAGCTCTAGATGAAATCTGTATTAATGTTGTTAGACTAGTTATACCTCCAGACATCTATAGGAACCGCTACTTGTACCTACTAACTTATGCAAAGATAAGGCACAGATAGGATAACGAGACCCTAGACCTAAAAAATGGTCCCGCTCTTATTGAAAAGTAGATAAGCTTATAGGCCAATCAATTTGGCAAAAGACTAAAGATCTAGTTCTTAGACAATAGGGGCTAGTTTAACAACAAGCACCTTTAAAAGGCTACTGAAATTAAGGGGTATAGGTAGGATTTCTCAAGCCCCTATATACCTAAACAAAATAGCATTGCAGAGTTATTAAATAAGACTATCCTAGTAAAGGCTAGGGCTATGCTCATTAATGCAGGTTTACTATAAGAGCTATAGAGCTATACTATTAAGCACTCTATACACTTGACTAATAGGCTAGCTAACCTAATAACTAAGGAGGTTCCTCTAGTCTATCTTAAAAGGGATCTGAAGCAAGGGGGAACTCTAGTAGATCTATCTAGGGTTAGGAGATTTAGTTACAAGGCATATAAGCACATTAGCAAAGAAGAGAGGCTAAGAGGTGCAAAGTTCATATTAAGAGCTCTAATCTACTAGAGCATTGGATTCTAGAGTAACTCCTCGATAAACTACTTCCTCTAGCGGCCTTAGTTCAACTATAGTAAAGGACTATAGTAGTATAAAATCAAATTCTCCTATTATGTTACCTTTAATAAAGATTAGACCTACGGGGATAAAGGTAGAAAGGTGAATCTAGCCCCTCCCTATATTTAAGTTATTAAATACTCTTAGTTAGGAATTGACCCTAGTAGATCTAGAGTGGCTTTAGGATTCCTACCTAATGTTGAGCAAGCCTAGAGTAGCTAGTAGGTAGTTAGTAGACCTGTTCCTTCTAGAAGTAGTAAAGAGCCGTTTCAAGCACCTTCGGGGGAGCTAGTACCTTCGGGGGAGCCAATACCTTTAGGGGAAACACCTCTTTAGGGGGAGCAGATTCTGTTAGGTCTAGAGAATCTAGAAAGCCTAGTCGAAGAGACCCGGGAGCTATAGGCCCCTAATAACCAATACTAGCCTAAGAATGCTAAGGATAAGGATACGCCGATAATATACTAACTAAACCAGTTGGTAGGTTAGAAAAGGCCGAGAGCCGCCTTACTACTAGCAGCTTAGGAAGTTGCAATCAGGCTAGTCGTGTACTAGCTAAACTAGCTAGTAGGGCAGAAAAGGCTAAGAAGTGCCTTACTACTAGCAGCTCTAGGAGCTGCAACAAAGCTAAGGTACTTAGACCTTGCAGATACACCCCCTATAATATCCTCGAGGGGTAGGTAGATAAGGAGACCTAACTATAGCAATATAGCTAGGGTCCTAAATGCTGCTCTTAAGAGATTCCTAAAGAAGAAGGCTAAGAAGCTAGGGGAGGGTAAGCTATCTACACTTTATAAAGCACTAAATAGCATAGATGCTAAGCTTTAGAGGGAAGCTATTACTAAAGAACTTAGGTCCTTAGATAAAACAGGTACCCTTAAATAGATCTCTGCTAAAGAACTTCTAAAAAGCAGAAAACTAATATTAAGCAAATAGGTCTAGAAGATTAAGCGCTTACCTAATAGTTCTACTAAGAAGTTCAAGGCGAGATATATAGCTAAGGGGTTTACTTAGAGGAAAGGTATTGACTTTGAAGAAACCTTTACTCTAACCCTAAGAGCTATAATAAGCAGGTTCTACTTAGGACTTTCAGCCACTTTTAGCTAGGTTAAATGTCAAGTAGATATTAAGGCTACATTTCTAGAACTAGACATTAACAGACCCAACTATATAAACGCACCTAAGGGGTTACATTTGATTAGAAAAGACCTAGAGGAATTTCTATATATAATTGTATAGAAAGGCTTATATAGCATAAAGTAGTCAGCTGCTTTGTAGTACTACGATGCTAAAGCTACACTTAAGACCCTTAGTTTATATAAAACCAAGAGCGATGCCTGCCTCTTTATTAGAGAAGGGATTATAGTTATCCTTTATGTTAATGACTTTTAGATCTTTAGTAAGACTTAAGCTAGGATTGACAAGCTAATTGAAGGACTTAGGAAAACCTATACTATTAAGGTTGTCTAGACAAACCTCTTCCTAGGACTATATATTATTGAAGACAGTACAAGTCTTAGAATCTCCTAGAAGCACTACTCTCTAGAGAAGCTAAGAAAGCATAGTCTTAACTAATGCAAGGGTATAAAGTACCTACTTAAGAAACTCCTAACTGCTTTCGAGCTAGACTATAAGAAGGAGAACTATAAACTCTTTAATTAGATGATTAGGGAGCTATAGTATCTTTCTAACTAGACAAGACCTAATATTACTTATGCTGTTAACTACCTAGCTAGATTCCTACAAAACCCTAGACTAGAGTATATTGTAGTAGTAAGATATGTTTAGAAATATATTATAGGAACAGTTAACAAGTCCCTAGTGTTTAAGAAGAGCAAGTCTAGCAAGGTTGATATTGAGAGCTACCTTAAGGTCTACTTAGATTCTAACTTTGCTAGTAACCTAAAGACCTCGAGGTCTATATTAGGATTCCTACTCCTTATAGTAGGAGGACTAGTTCTCTAGAGATCCTAGCTTTAGAAAGAAGTTGTCTACTCTAGTACTAAAGCTGAGTATATAGCACTAACTAAAGCTATAAGGGAGCTAAAGTAGCTAAGGAACCTCTCTAAGGAAATTAGTAGCTTTACTAGGTTCAAGTTTGACTGTATTAAAATCAACTGCGACAACTAGTTAACTATCTACCTTATAAAGAATTATACTAACTCTAGCAGATTAAGGCATGTTTCTCTAAGGAACTATTACTATAGGGAATAGTATAATAAAGGGAGGATTGATGTTTAGTACATTCCTACTAATCTCTAAATAGCAGACTAGCTTACTAAGCCTAAGTCAAACAACCCTATCCTCTAGGATCTAGACTAGTAAAGGGCAAACTCTAAAGTCACTTATTTTATTCTTATTTGTTACTAGAACAGGAAGTTAAACTTAATACACTTATTTTCATTTTATTACTCTCTATAGACTAACTACTCTTCTAGTTATCTACCGGGGCATCTCGGTATCTAGAGCAATCTTTTAGCTCTTAGTATAATATCTTAAAGCAGAAACAAATATCGAAACTAGATTGGCCTAATCTATAAGGACTAGAATCTCCTTAATGCTACAAATCTCAAATTATATATTAGAAGTTTTGTCTAAAGGATCTCTAACCTTCTAAGAATACTCCTGTCTCTTTAAGGACTGCCTATTTCCTCGTTAGAATTACCCTTTTCTTTATCCTAACGATTAGATAGCCTACTCTAAGAAGAGTAACGATCGGACAGTCTACTCTAAGAGGAGCTAGACGGGGCTAGTATAGCCGATTTAGAAGAAAGCCGAGAGTTTAGATTGCGACTACGACTAGCTATCGTAGCAGCTACGTAGACTCCTGCCTGCTAAGCTAACGTATTCGCAATCGCCTAAGCGCCTTCCGGAGTATTCTAATTGATCCTAGAAGGAATCGGGATATGTAGGCGACGCTAATTACTGCCTGCTATACTGCCTAGGTTACGAGGCGGTAGCCTAATAGGACCTAGAAGACCTGCCTAGCGGTTAGTGCTCGAACGAGGGCGCGATATATAGCCTGCAACCTAGTTAGTTTTTCCTAATTAAGGTCTCAAGTTAAACCTAACTTACTCGACTTGTTACAATAACTATAATAGTTCGGGCTAGCATAATTGGTATAGGTACCCTTAAGGAACTTGCTCCTATTAACGGTTAGAGTAATACACTCCTTGTATACGCCCTTACCCTCCTAATAGGGCTTATACCTATCATTTCCCTAATGAATAGTGCGACTAGAAGCAGCATATACGAGTATAGCCGGAAGATAGTTAACGTTAGATCTAGAGGCTAGGTTGAACTTCTTATCCGCCCTACGCATTATAGCTACGATAGTTAGGTATAAGGGAGAGTTGCTGCCCTTTTACTTAAGGGTACGTACGAAGATAATAACGTCGGTATTGCGTAGCTATAGAGGCATTTCGTCAAACTTCGAGTTAGCTAGAGCGGTTAGGATCTTCTATAGGAGCGCGACGGTAATCTCAATCTCCTTTAAGACTGCTCTCTGTTAGTATAGGAAGGCGTATCTAATTAGTAAAAGCCTTACTGTTGTCAATTAGCTACTACTTATTATAGCGACTAGGTAACTTCTTGTTCGGATTATCTCCTCCGCTACTACTACCTATACTAGTAGCTAGGCTACCTAGACTAGACTAAGTTGCTATAGCTATAATAGTACCTCTAATTGGAATTAGGTTAAGTTAAGCTGTATTAGAAAGTGTTAGTTGTATATTAGTTAGTAGAAAGAAGAAGTTCAAGTTTAAACAGAAAGCGCACTTCTTAAATATAGACTACTAGGCTTAGGGTCTAAGCAGTAAGCGTACGGCAAGTACGACTTTACCTTTATTTTAATATATATAAAAGGACTAGACTAATTAGCGAGCTAGGAGAAGCAACCCTAGGTTACTTAGATCGTTATATGCAAGTTACTTATATCTAATAAGTTACAAGGTAGTTACACTTCAACTAACAACGCGTATAGCAGCTAAGTAAGGGAAATGGCCTTTTATTCTAACAGATTCTGCCTAAGGGGGAGTGTTGTAGATCAGTTAGCACTGCTAAGTGCTAAGAGCTAATTTCCTAGTAATATATATAGCATCTGGCGCAGATAGAACTTGATCCCTTCTTCTCTATACAATTCTATAGTCAATCAATCAATGACTTGTTCTGCTTAGCTCAATCACAACACGTGGAGATCATTCTTCTTCTGACTAGAACATTGAAGCTTGTTCTGTGCTTATAATATCGACCTAGAAGCTCAAAGACACAGTCGGTAGAAGTCGTGAGGGACCATGATGAGAGAGAATGCCTTCTCGTGCAGTAGCTTTATTAGGTAGAGAGCTGCGAGAAACCCAGATCCAAAATAATAGGAGATGTCTTGAATCCTTCCAGCCATCAAAGGATTCGATTCACGAACGATGAAGATCTTCGGATAACTATACTTCAAACTTCACCCTCTTTGCAGATCATCTATATTTCGGGCGGATCAATAATATCGGCACCGGCAGAAGAAGCCCTCGTCACAACACGAAACCACATCATCACATTTCACATAATGATCCTTCTTATCGGCACATCTCGGTGGGCGTATGCCACCGACATCATGATTGATCCATCCAGCCAAGCCAAGCATTCCTTCCATCTGCAGGAGAAGAAGGAGAGAGGAGAACGTCGACTTCTCAATTGAACTCACCATGAAGCAACGGGCCTCCAGAAGACGAGAAAAAAAGACGAGACAATGAAGTGGTCTCAAGCAAAGACGATTGATACCGACAACCTAGAACAAGAAAAAGAAGAATCAGACCAACTCCTCAATGGACCCAAGTGGTCGAAAGCCGAAACGATGAACATCATCAGCAAGCTAGAAAAAGAAGAACAAGAAAAAGAAAAAGAAGACGAAGAATCAGACCAACTCCTCCTCAACGGCCCCCCAAAACAAAACCAAACTCCCAAAATCAACAAACTCACCCTCACAATCTACACCCTCCTCCTCTCCATCATACTAACCCAAACCCTCCTCCTCCTCCATCTCCACACCACCCGCCCCCCCTCAAAAACCATCTTCGGCCTCCCCACCGCCCGAACCATCCCCCGCCCCTCCGGCCTCCAAAACAAATACTGGCCAACCTCCCCCTCAGGAAACCTCACCACCTCCAACCTCGCCTGGGAAAAGATAAACCCGGGCCACGGCGCGATCCTCGTCACCCCATCCTTCAAAACCACCCACCACCTCCCGGAAACAATCCGCCACCCGTACGTACCCGAAATGTACGCCTACGCCTTGGAAGCGTACCATATGATACACTGCATCCGGGTCTTACGGAAAGATTACCTCCTCCTGTACGAGAATAAAGTTCCTGCGAAACCGTTGGAGCATGCGATGCATTGTTTTGATGCGCTGAGGCAGAGTGTTATGTGTCAGGCGAGTGATGAGGTGCTTGGGATTACGGGACGGGGACATACGGGAGGGGTGAGTCAGATGAGGTGGTGTAGGGATTGGGATGCTTTGAGGGAGATGGCGACGGGGAGGTCGGCTTGTTATTGGGATGAGGAGTTGCCGGCTGAGAAAGAGGGGGAGAGGTGGAGGATGTGTGATGGGGGGGTGGATGGGTTGCCGGTGGGGGGGATTTTGGAGTGAATCGTAGAGAGAGAGGGTTGGATGGATGTAATGAATGGATGAGAGCCATGTGTAAGTGGAGATGTATATGCTTCGGTTCTGGAAATGAAATGTCTCTGCCGTTCGTTGTTCTTGGGATGATTTTTGGGGGCTCTAGATCTTCGCAAATGGCTTCTGGTTCCTCGAGAACCTCGCGCACCCAAGCAATATGGCACCGACTATGAGCATTGCACCGGCAAAGGCAGATAATGCAAGATAACCCTTCTCTACGAGCTCGCCTGCGATTGGGGTTCCAAAGAGCGCAGTCAGCGATACTGAAGCCATCGCAAGACCGACGGCAGCACCTCTAGTCTGTTCGTCGGCAACAATAGTAGCACACGCGAGCTGGAGACTCATAATCGCACCGGATGTAAAACCATAGGCGATGGACCATACAACCAGACCTGCGATGCTAGTAGCCTTGGTCCAGCAGAAGACGACAATGGCAGAAAAGAAGGCCGAGCAAGTCAAGATGTTGAAGTGGCCATACTTGTCCGCGAAAATCCCGGGCATGATTCGTCCGAATAAAGAAGCGCCGTTTAGGATGGATACGAGGTAGAAGGCCAGGTTTTCGGAGAGTCCTAGATGGGTGGCGTAAACGGAGACGTAGAATAAGGGCGCGAAGAAGCCGAAATATGCTGTGGCGAGGCCCAGACACATGAAGATAAAAGCTGGCTGTTTCATCTTGGAGTAGTCCTTCTTCTTTGACTTGGGCTTGTCTTCGATGTTGCGCTCCTTGTTTGCTTCAGCATCGTGATCGCCTTGGGTCTTCTTTGGCGTTCGGAGGCACAGTAGTGCTAGGGCCAGTAGTGGAATAAGAACGAAGCCTACGATCCGCATCGACCAGCCGAAGCCAATGCCATCATGATTGAGCAGCTGGTCAAGCGCGACTGGCCAGAGTATGCCACCCAATGAAGAGCCTCCAATCGAGACGCCCTGAGCCAGACCGCGATTCTGGATGAAGTACTGAGGTACTACGGTGGAGGTGGAGATGGCGATAAACGACATGCCGATGGGTAAGAGGACTCCTTGAGCTAGGAAGAATTGATAGTATTCTCTGCAAAGCGAAACCATGAAGATGGCAAACACCTCAACAATTGAACCACACAGGATGGGGATCGTGGGACCAAAGCGATCGGCTATCATTCCCGCAGGCGCAGCAGCTCCGAAGAGCATAAAAGTCGAGAAAGACCCAATCCATGAGATTTGAAAGTTTGAGTATGTCGGCAAGTAGTGTGCAGTGTAGTACTGCTGAAAGACACCATATGCGTTCAAGAAGCCGACAGTACAGAAGTATGCTAAAGCACTTCCAGCTAAGGCGAGAATAGAGCGCATGCTGTTACACGGGTCAGCACGGTATCTTCTTGAAGCGAGAACATGAAGCATCATCTTACTGCCATTCTGAGAGAGTCGGTCCAGATTCGTTGTCTCGTTGCTCTGCCTGCTTGCCCCGACTCGAGGCCTCTGAAGCTGCCGGTATAGAGACGTCATTCTCGGCCTTGTCGTTTATTGCGATGCTTGAGGCCTTGCTCATGGTGATTTGACGCTCTGCGATACAGAATTGGCATTGAGGATAGCAGGCTATGAAGTAGACTCTGCTGTGGCCGGACGCTCCATGGCCTCACCCACACGTCCGCGGACGGTCCGGAGGGTCCATGGAGGTTCCGATGCATCATGCAAAGCTCTCGCACGAGCGCTCAAGCTGGATCCAGTATGGTTTGGAAGCGAGCCCGTGTCAGAATGCACCTACCCGACTCGCATATCAAGGTCGCTAAGAAGCGCATCCCATTCCCGAGGATTTAACATGGGTCCACTGTCCATTAAATCCTGCCACATTCCATCGAATTCGAACTCGCCATTGATATCTTGCATGGCAGGCATGGATGAAGCGGGCTCATAACCACTTGTTCCATTTATAGGCTGACCTGGTCCGCCAGCGGTCTGCACGACTGACTCGTTGCTCGACAACTTCACATGATGCTTGCGGAGAATTGCCATTAGTGAGTCATAAAAGCGATTTCCCATCTGCGAAGTATGCCTTGAGTCTTCCATTACTTTCAAGGCGTACTTGACTTCTTCGATTTGGGCTTGATCGTCCTCACGATTGACGCAAAGATTCATGACCAGGACCGCTGTCGCATAGAAAATGTGTTGAAGGATGCCGCCCAAACGGAGAGCTCTGGCACCGTCAAAAGTCGGCTCATCCTCCATTACGCGCCTTCTTGCTTCGAAGACTGCTCGTGCTGCTTGTAGTCCCACCCTGTGGGAAAACTCGAAGCGTGGATTATGCTTTGCCCGGACCAGGAACGGGAGGTGCAACTTGCATCTTCTCGTGTTGATCATGAGATTGGCCATGACCGACTGCATAGAGATCTGTGGGGTGTACATGCTTCCATATTCGCGGTGAAGTTGATGCGTCGGAATGTCGAGGCGCAAGAACCGTGGGAGCTCATTGAGTTGTCGTTCGAATTTGGCATCGAGCGTGGCTACAATGGTGTAGTCTATCGTCTCGGGCTCCAAAACGTGAAAGGAGGACCATAGAGCATCTGCTACCTCACGACAAGTCATCCCAAGCTTGATCCGCTGATGGTAATATGACATGACCGTGGGTTCCTCAAGACCTCGAGAGAACTCTGCGCCTTTCGTGTTGAGATCGTCTGGATTCAAATTCCGAGGCAGCTTGACGCTCATATGGTTCGGGCTGATGCAGTACATGCCTTCTTGTGGGCCAGAAATGAAGGACATGAACCAGTCAGTGCAAGTTAAATGCCACCAGCATTTTCTTCGAACCTCGATGTCGATGAGATCTGCCTGCGTCGCTGTTGGTTGGGAGGTCCCTGGAGCGTCTGTCTTGTGCAAGCCCAGGTCTCGGGCCACTGTGATCGCGGTGGCAAGCATCAGTCTCACCCTTGGTGTTAAGCCTTCCATATGATAGTATATAAACATGAGGATAATGCAGCCCTGTACACCCTCGAGTGTGCTGGTGATCGTAGACAGTCGCATCTGCTCTGTAGCGTAGAGACTCTGCTTGGCCCAGACCTTGGAGGCTTTCAGAGCTGTTTGCTGGTCGCTGAATAATGACTGTCCAGATGATGATCCGACATTCCAGTAGAATCCAACACTCGCGCAAATGCCAAGAATCAAAGTGAGCGCTCCGGGATCAAGCTCATGTCCGGCTTTGATTTTTCTGTAAGTATGCTCGATGCATGATCGAGCGCTATCGATGTGCATAATATGTTGCATGGCATCAAGATGCTCGGCATAAGCGTCCAGGAAAGCCAAGGCGACATCATACGTTGGTACAATAATTGTCCTTCGGTGTGACGTGGAGTTCTCCGATGACAGTGCCTGATCAACAGACTGCGGGCTGACGATGACTCTCTCCGTAAATTCAGGCAACACGGTGTCAGCTCGGGCACCCATTGTCTCCAGCCATGCGGAGTCCTCATCTAACACTTCAGCTTCAGTCTGAGCTCTCGGAGGCGTGGTCTTGGAAGGGGCATGGTTCTGATCCATAGGCGAGGTGATCGAGGGAGTGCGCGGGTGCTGATATGGATGGCCATGTCCAAATACAGCTTGTTCCAGTCGGTGGAGACGTGCCTTCATTGATTGATTTTCTGCTCGAATGTCACTGTCGTCTACGATGATCGTCCTGCCTGCTGAAAGAGGTCGTTCGCCTTTGAACTCGCAAGCAACCCTGCGGCTCTGGCAGTTGGAACATGGTCTCTGGCGATCGCACTTCAGCTTCTTCTGCCGGCATAGCAAACATGACACCGGATCTTGTCGAGGGCGGCTCGGCCGGTCTTGTGTCCTTGTCGCAGGCATTGCCGCGGATGATTCAGTATATGCATTTCACCCAGAAACCAGTGTGCGAATGATGCTCCTGCATGCATCGGATATGTTGCTGAACCGCCTCAGTTGTGGTGTTGACAGATATGAGTATATCAACCTAAACAGGGTGTCGATCGCGCCGCCACGGCGGCTAGGTTTGCAAGGCCGCTTAACCACTTCTATGGTTGTTTCTATAGTTGTTTATAGGTTATATATGGACCGCTAAGAGGTCCAACTTCGAGCCAATTTAAAGCCTTATAATCGTATATTATAGGCCTATAAATAAGGAAGCTAAACTAGACCTTATCTAGAGGCTATATCTACCTCTTATTTATCGACCTATTCTATCTCTTCCTCGTAGTTATATATCGCGCTTATTTCGACCTTACTATCGCTAAATTCTACGCTCTTTATTATATATAAGCCTTTATACGCTAAATATCTATTGCCTAAGGATATAGAGTTATTGCTTAGTAAGCTAGAAGTTAAGCGGCCGGTACGTATATCTTATAAACTATAATAATCTCGTACTAAGCGTATTATTATTATTATAGTTTAAGAGCCCGTTTCTACTAAATCTATACGATCGAAGGCGCCTATTTTTCTATCCTACTAGTAGTAATAAGGGTATTCGAATAGAAGGCTTCGAATACGACAAATACCGCTATTTCGTATCGAACGTAAAGTGCTATAGGAATCGGTAGAACTACCTATCGAGTAATAGCTATAGGCGACTACTAGTATATCGACGACTTAGCTTCGAGTATCGTATCTATAAGCGCTATATAGACTATTAGCGCGCGGAAATAGCTCTAGAAGTCGTTATAACTACTAAGAGGCCTTAGCGGAAGCGTATAGTATATACGAAGCCTTATTTCGACTATTACGCTATACGCGAAGTTAACTATTATCGAGGTCTACGAGAAGTAACTAAAAGCCGATTTTAGCGAGTTTCTCGATAGCTATATACTACTACGTAGTCTACCTAATAGTTTAACGGTCGGAAGACCGGCTTACGTAATACCTTTGCCGCTAAAGAAGTACTATTCGTATAGTCTTAAGTTTGCCGATAGTCTAGTAGTTAATAACAGTATAAAGGCCGTATAGAAAGAGATACTCGATTTTCGAGCTAGTAAGTAGATTCTTAGTATCTTATATACCTTATATTAACCTATTTCTAGGCTTAACGTTAGTCGCTTAGTTAGTAGAAGAAATAAGACGACCTAAACAAAAGTAGGTATAGTACTGCGCTAGCGCCGTAGTAATTACTTAAGACCGCGTTAGTAACGCGAATCGAGAAGTCCTTTATCGATTAAGTAATAAGCAAAGAGATAGTACTAAAATAGGGGTTATAGCCTAACTTTAGTAGATATACGACTACTTAAGCGCTAAATTTAGTAGTAGACGAGGCCTCGTATAAATAAATTATAATTAAGTCTCGTAGACTTAATAGAAAGCTCTATAGAGGCCTTATTTAGGCTTCTAACTAGCAACTTCGAGCCCTTCGTAACTATAGGTCTTTGTTTCTATTAGACTCGACCTACTATACGAATAAGCTTAAATAGCCTCTATCGATATTCTACGTCTATAATAACTACCTTAAATAGCTTCTAGCGGTAGCTTACTTCCTTCTATAATACGAATAGATATACCTAATTAAGATAGTAATCTTAACTTTTCGAGAAATAGCTTAATCCGACTAGAATAAGAAGGTTGGCGAATACGATAGATATAGGAAGTACTTCTGCGTTAACGACGGCTATTCTAGTAAAGCTTAAAATTAAGACTATTTAAACTAGACTAAACAGTCTTCTTAGATACCGCTATAGTCGATTACTAACGACTTAGCAAGTAAGTAACTTAGTATAATTCAAGCCCTTATAGATTATAGTATTATTTAGCGACTCTACTAACGCTATCTTATTAGGATCCTTAAGAAGCACTTTAAGCGCTTTCTTACTACCTTTAAGGCTATAACTAACGCATTATTTATTATAAGAGACTAAGAAGAATGCTAGTAGTTTATTAAGACTATATAGAGCGACCTACTAAGCTATTGAAGGACGGAAACCAAAACCACTACTACTACTAGCAGTAATGGTATAGGCCACCGAGGGTAACATAACCTATAGCAATATAGGCAGCCATGTTTAGCATAATAGGATGATAAGACGGTTGCTTAGGTTGATGACTAGAGCCCTACAACATAGGCATTATAAAAGTATAATATAAACAATGTACTGTACGAGGTTAGTGCTCTCTCTATAATGTAGAAGGAGGCCTCTTATATAGGCTTAAAACTCAGCCTAGGTGTGTAGGGCCGGTTACTAGCTAATATCCCTCCCTTTCTTCGTATCTAACTAGACATGCTTCATATTGCGCGCTTAAAACAAACAGTTATACAGTAACCTTAGGCATCTTAGCTAAGGCTATCTTTCAGAGACTCCGCAATAATACCCCTAAGGTAGCATTGTTCCTAAATTCCATTAATATACAAAAACAACTTCCTAAGTATCTAATCTACTACGCTAACTTACTGCTGCTTCAATACACCGTAATCCTTACTAGTAATAACCTCATCTGCTAGTCGGCTCTCGAAATCTCCTCCGCATACGTTGAAGCTATTAGTACCGAAGTACTATCCCTCGTAGAAAGCTTAATTAACGAGGAGGTTAATAGCCTTTTCCGTCGCAGTATTCTCCCAATTGTATAGATATTCCTTAAGTCCCTCGTTATTAAGCTAGAGGATCTGTTTAACTTCGTTCTAAACAACGTAACTTAACTAAGGAATCCTACTAACTAGAGCGTCGGAGATATAGCCGAGGCCTTCGACTAAGATCGCCGTAGGGAAAGCGAATAGTACGAAGGAGTTAGAGGCCGGGAGGGCGGTTAGATTGCGGTACGCTTTAGCAACCTAGGAGACTGTTAAGTTCTCGTAACCCTTAACCTTAGTGCCGTTAATAACGCGAGAGTAGCCTAGGTTAATTAATATACGGTTGCTCTTAGTCTTCAGATTACTATATAGTAGGTATAGCATCTAAATAGAGACTTCGTATTCCTTTAGAGGGTTAAGGATCCACTCCGCTTTACGCCCCTTACTATTAGGCTAACTATCGAATATATAGTCGAGGTCGTCGTCGGTAAGGTACTTGTTAGTAAGCTTACCGATCTTGCTTAGTAGGACTAGGCTACAAGCCTTAAGCTTCTTAACCTAGTTCGTAAAGACCTCGGGCTAATATATGCCTTCGATAATAGTAGAGTAGCTAGTCTTATCCTTAGATATAAGGCAGACCTTAATACGTAGGTGACTAGCTCCCTCGCTAGCTGCGAGCTTAACTACATCTTATCCGAGACGAGTAGACTCCTTAGAAGGACAGTTTTTATAAGTACCGCTAACCTTGAAGAACTTAGTAGGCTTAGAGACAGAGATAAGCTCGTATACGTAATTAGGTCGAAGGGCGACAGCTAAGAGCTATAGGGCAGGGTGCTAGCGGACGATTTAGTTGCTTATACTATAAGTTTGAAGGGTATTGCGGCCTTCTTGCTTAGACTTAGGCATCGCACGTATATACTAAAGGTACATTTTAAACTCCTCCTATATTAGGTCGATAAGGAAAGGAAGATATACTCTACGAGGCTCTTACAACTAACTAAAGACCTAAGGGAAGATAGCATTGCTAGTCTAGCGAAAGCGGTCGAAGGAGGTGCCTTAGCTAAGGATACCGGTAACGAACTTACTCTAGCGATCCGTTAGCGTAAGGGCGCGAGTAATAGTACTAGTAGGGTTAAACGCGTAGAGTCCTAGAGATATCGGGGCGGCAATAGGGCGTCTAGGAAACTAGTTAGCATAGGCCTAATCAGCCTTAAGGGTAGCGAAGGCGTCTTAATTAGGAACCTCGCGACTAATCTTTAATAGGCGACCGACGAGGACACTCGCCTTAGCACTAGTATAGAGACTATAGACCTTAGCGGCCTTCTTAATATAGTTAGTACATATAGAGAACGGCTCTTCTCCTAGCTTGCTAAGGTCGTCGAGCTGTTAATAGATAAAAAGGGCGGTAGGAGCTTCGCCTATTGCGGCTTTAGGAACTATATCGATATCGGTAATAAGGTACGCGATAGAGTCGCCCTTGTAAGAACTATAAATGTTCTTAGTTAATAGGATCGGCGAGAGGCCTCTATTTCTACGCTCGCTAAAGGAGCCTTCGGAGGAGACATCCTCTAGTAGTATATCTAGCATATTAACATCCGAGTTACTATAGTTAGTATTATAGTTAGTACTATAGTCGGTACTAGAAGGAGTGCTATACTTCTTAGTAGCCTTACGGAGGGCCTAGCGAGCATACAATACCTTCTTACGCGCTACTTCGGCCTTAGCGCGCTCGTCTTAAACTTCTTAAGGGACCTTACGGTTACGGGTCGAGCGACGATCTTTAGCCTACATTTCTATAGCGAGCGTAAGACTAGTAGCCGTATCGGCCTCGGTTTCTAGGCGAAGAGCCTTACGTTTAAGGACATTAACGATAGGAGCCTCTTAACCCTTAACGATAAAGCCTATACTATTAATACAATAGCCCTTCTCTTTTAGTAGATCCTTAGTTATCTATACGTTGAGATCGACCTAGACAATCGTATCGTAGTACTTCTTCTAGTAGGCTGTCGTAAAGTCGTTAAGCGCAAAGGACAAGTTAAGTAGCTACTTGCCTACCTTCTTACTAGCGGTAGATACGCGATAGATTATAGTACGGGAAAGATGCTCGGCGCCTTAACGACGGACCTTATACTTATTAACGAACGAAGAGACCTACTTAGTACGCTCTTGTCTACCGTAGGCGAAGTTAATAAGGCTCTTAGGAAGACTGCTTAGTCCTCCCTAGTGTTCGAAGGCCTAGTCGAGGGTCTTAAAGCGCAAGCGAATCTAGGTACCGGCTATCTCGAGGCTATAGACGATAGGAAAGGCTTATTCGATATCTATATCGTTAAAAACCTCGCGC